TTAGGCCTACTAATTATTTCCTATATACCTCGTTTGAAAAAAATCTATAAAACATTCATAAATCTTCCTCGATGAGAAATCTCAGAGGAGCTTCACAGTACCGTTAAACTCCATTAAAATATTTTACTCTTTTACACGTCTGTAAAACCCAATTACACAAACACACATATACACTCAGAGGTAAAGGGGCACTTATAAGAAAGTGGAACGGGCACCTATTTGAAATGAAAAAGGGGCGCTTATCTGAAGTAAAAGGGGCACTTTTGCTATGTAAAAAGGGGCACTTTAGTTTTTGTTTGCCTGACCAGAAATTTGGGAATTCGACATTTTCCAGCAAATTCATAAAAAAGTATAAATTTACAAAAAAAGTGAGAAAAAACTTTGGAAAGTCCTGTCGTTTCAGCAACATTTGTAAATCACTGGTATTGAATTAAGAATAAACCATCTTTGAATTTTATTTGACGGGCAACTGACCCCCCCCCCCCCCCCCCATGCCCCTCCCTCCACCAGTACGCCACTAGGCGTAGCTAACAAGACTATCATTCAGACGGTCGCTACTCCGACCTTTACACCGACCTCACCATGTTCACCCCGACTTGCTCTTAACAAGGCATCGTTTAACAATGTTAAATGTTGGATGCATGGCCCTATGTGCGATCAGTGTCTGTGATATGGTTGAATATTGAAGCCCTACAAAAATTGCGCTTCAAAATGATAACGACCTTTACCCAGACCGAATTTGCCATCGTCTGAACAAGACTACTGTCAGTCATTGGGAACTCGGATTTTATCGCCTGCCTATTATTTCATTGCAGACGCGCCACCTATGTGTATTACAATAAAACGTCGCAGTTTCGGTATAGCTCGCGGGAGACGTGATCAAGACCGTGCATGCAAAATTTTGAGTCTTGTGGATATTTGCTCTTAATTCCCACTTGCAAGCAAAGATGATCAATTCATATCGGAAAAAGGTTAGCTGTACATTCATTCAATTCTACGCTTATGATGATCGTATAAATATTATTATTTTTATCACCTTTTTTTTTTGGGGGGGGGGGAATGGGACAATTTGAACACGTCCTTCACTAGATCATTTTTGTGTTTGGCATCCTTCAGAACATACACGAAAAATATTATAATTATCATCTTTTTAATAAGGCCACATAACCAAAATAACGTGTTTTTTGTCCGTATTTTCTTTTAAAGTGGAGGCAGGGCATTACTATTTACTATTTTGCAATTTTGTTTGCAATTTTGTTCCCAAGATGGCTGCCATGCTAATTATAGCTGACCAAGCAGGAGCTTTTTGCTAAGGGGGGGGTTGACCAATAATGACGATGCGGAGCATCGCCCACGAGCCGCGAAGCGGCGAACCGATTTTTTTTTGGGGTGTTTATTTGAACCCCGTAAGTGATGTTTTCCTGGCATCTATTAACACAATGGAGACCATAAAAAGCAGTGCATGAACACGTCCGTATTACACCCCCATGTATGGTAATTTACCCTGTATGCCAACTTTTTTGCATGATTCAAACATACCTTCCAGTAAAAAAAGATGCGAGACTGGATTGCCGCAACTTCTTTGCCCTGTTTGCTTCCATATTGCTTGTCACTACACTCAGACCAGACTGATAAAAAAGTGAGCACCTTGAACAAGTAATCCAGGAAATGAGCAGCCCAGCTCAGCGTGCGTTGCCAGGTTAAATCTACACAAAATCCCCACCCAAACGACACTTAAAATATCCCCAAAGTTGCCAAATTTTGACAGAAAATCCCCAAATTCGTTTTTCATAAAACTCAATATTATTTTCATTCACAAATATTTATTTTTCATCCCCAAAGACTTCAACAATCCCCCAATTTTTTTTTTTTTTTAATGTGGGGATTTTGGGGATGAGAATCGGCAACGCTGGCCTAGCTTGTCACTTCGGCGGTGGCCCGTGTCCTCAAAAAAGCTGATGGGGGGGGGGGGCAAGGGACTCTGTGACATTTGTTCGCCCAATCCCCCCCCCTCCCCCCAAAAAGAAATAATAATAATAATAATAATAATAATAATAATAATAATAATAATAATAATAATAAATGAAATAAATACATAGAAATAGAATAAAATAAAATTACAAGTTTTAAAAAAAAGATAAGATTTTAAAAAATGGTCCCCGGATTTTTTTTTTTTTTTTTTTTTTTTGGGGGGGGGGTTGCAACCCCCAACCCCCCCCTCTAGATCCGCTTCTGCCAAGCCTATTTATTCAAAGAGATTGTGCTATGTGAGTATACTGATGCAATGCATGACAAAACAAATGATTTGTCTAATTTTATGAAAATGTTACAGTATATAATATCGGGATTCAGGTCATTAAATTTAAGCACGATTATCATTTGGGCTTATCAATTAACAGTTGTTTGTTTTACCAAAAAAGGTCGCAGTTTTAGTCTAGCTCGCGGAAGTCGTGATTAAAACCGTGCATGGAAAATTTTGAGCCTTGTGGATATTTGCTCTTGATTTCCACTTCCAAGCAAAGATGACCGATTCATATCGGAATAAGGTTAGCTACTACTCAGGAAATAAATACTTTCTTGAGTAGAAGGTTTTCTTTTAAGTGTAGAGTTTGGTAATTTTTTTTAATTGTAATGTTGTATTTGTATATATATTGTATTTGGGTATGCTGTTGTGTGTTTGTTGGTGGGGTTACTCTCATTTTCGGCGGGAATCGCAGTCTCTTAGGTAAATGTGTAAATTGTACTCGTATCATGGGAAATCACTTGAAACATATATTTTACTTTGCTTCGCCATTCTCGGCAAAATATTTAATCAACCTTGTAATAATATCGGTGTTATGATTTTCATCAATAAAATACGACCCTGAACTGCGATATTATATATTTGTCTTGAGTCATCTGTATGTTTGGTTAACACGCGCTAATTATCCACGCTACGACGACTACCAAAGATCGTTTTTTTTCTTCAGAATGTTACACTAAATATGAAGTCCCTTCTTCTGCATACTTATTAATGTGAACTTATACATGTAAAATTATAATTAATACTTTGGTAGCCTTTTTGTAGTTACATTTTGTTTTAATATCAACATCTCTATTATTATTTTGTGCACACGTTGAAAAAGGGGAATATTTTGTAAATATTGTATCGCTGAAATGTAATTTGTTTTTCAAAAGAAAATAAATTCAATTCAATTCAATATATGCTGTTTAATATTCATGTACCGACTGCACAAAAGGAGACAGATCTGAAACTTTTCTTTGAACAATCTAACGAGACTTTGCTTTCGGTAAAGGATATAAGAAAGCTACCAGTAGTACTTGGGGGAGATTTTAACAACCCATTAAATATAAATGTATTATAGGATGGGTGGGAATCCTCACAGACACATACTTGCACCAATGATCTCATAAACAAAATTAGGGTCTATTTTGATTTTATAGATATTTGGAGACTTAGGAATCCTCAAGAGGCTAGATCCGGGAATTTGAGGCGTATTGGCCGTATCGTCGATAGCGAAAACAAGGGAATTGGAGAACCGCCTCTCTGTAGGTTGTAAAATTACCACTTTAATCGCCGTTCTCTTTCTTTCTTTCTCCATGCTAGATGCTGAAAATGGTACTTCTTGTGGCGATGGCGATTGGTCCATATCTTTACGTTAACTATTTGTCACCAGGCGGGTCCGCTCTCAACGCTTTTACCATGAGTAAAAGTGGACGAGTTATAGATTATGAACAGAAACATGAAACAGGAAGTTCACCGAATGTAAGTTTAAACAAGCTAGAAAAAAGTGATGATGACAATCCTGGACCGGGATCAGAAGATCTGAAAAAGGAGAAAGGTCAGGGATTCCAGGGAAGGGAAGAGGGGAAGGACGGAAAGGCAGAAGAGAAATCGTTGATCCTGTCTAGTGAATTGAACCTTAAAGAGAATTAGGTTAATTGATTACACAAACTAACTTTATTGTCATTATTGCAAAAGTGAAACTTTGATTGGACAAGGTTATACAATTTAATGCTTGGAAACATTCGAAGTAATGATTATTATAAATTAAAAAAACGCTTAAGTACAGCCCCGGCATAGCATCTGAAGAGCTCTCCGAACGCTGCTGAGATGTATGACGTCACGGGTTGAACATGATTTGCACAAGCAGACGATTTCCAATGACATGTCACACATTGTCATTGCCTGTGTTTTCATCTTCTCTTCAGTTATTTCTTGTACCTCACTTCCGTCAGGCTAAATGTTTAATCTATTGCCTCATTCTAAACCCCGTGCATGTTATTATTTTGATGAAAAATGCAGCGATAAAAAGATAAAGGAATCCGTCGCTTGTAAATAAATAAGACTTCATTGTATTTTCGGCGTTTCATAAGGAAACAAATGCCGTCCATGCTATCATTCCGGGGAGGGGGGGGGGGGGGGTAATTTGAAAGTGTGGTTTCTTTAATTTTTCAGTTACCCCTATCCTGTGTATTTACAAACAAAAGAATTAAGTTATCAGAAGCGGTTTTATATCCCTTTTTAAATGGTGTAAAATACCACCATAATTATTTTCATGTATCAGGCATAAATGTCCATTTCTATTCTGCCCTATCTCTATTTTCTTCTTTTCTAAGCGCAAAGGGACTTTCTTTGTGTTAGTGATATGCGCTATACAAAAAACGTTCATTATTATTATCGTTATTATTATCACATTTATATACACTGAACTCATTATAATTTGAGAAAAAAAGCATTTCAACCATGTTCATTCTTTACGGGATGTCGTCTGCTTGGGCAGGATTGGTTCATCATGTTACGTCGTTAAAACATCGTTATTTTCCTGGCGAATCTCTCGTACATATATATCCTAGATGGAGGTGGTTTTATTTGTAGTTTTATAAATCACCCGATATGTAGTTGACCTAAAAACCAGTAAGGTGGCCATCTGTTAGCTTACCAGTTTCTAGTGATTTGTTATTTGCCATATTTGTGATTTTCTTTAACAACTAGTCAACAACCCCACGAAAAATGGAGCTGATTTACAACGTTCGGTATCGACAAGCACAACCCTACAACTACTCGAGACTTTTCTCTTATGATGATGAGGGAAAATGTCAGGGCGTCGCCTGTAAATGGCCGAAGATGCCTGGTGCCACAAAAGAGCTTGTCAAATGGGCGCCCGAGGTGAGTTTGCACAGTAGTTTTAATGATTTATACTCGCCACACCACATCGATTCGAAAACGTCGTGTTGGCCATTCGAGAGTAATTTATTTGTTGTTGTTCTATTGTCGATGTAGGTCATGTCAGTGGAATAAGGTACATGTCAATAGAGTGAATTTTATACCAAATTAGTATCTAAATTGAGCGCACACAAACAAAAAAGTGGAAAGTGTTCAAAGGGGAAACACAAGCTGTTCATGGAGCACCTTGATTAATTCTAGAGTGGCTTTTCGAAAGTGCAAAAGTGATAGCTCTCTGTGTTGAAACTATATAATAATGGTTGCATTTTCCCACTTCTCTACTGGATGCAGTGTGAATTCAACGAATAGGTATGGTTTTAAAATAGATATGTCTTCAAACTCTTTTTGAATTGTTCTACTGTTGGTGATAATTTCGATTGAGGAGGGAGAATGTTCCAGAGTTTTAAAGCAGTAGAGGGGAAAGCTACATCGATCGTTTATTAGCTAGTTATTCGTTGTCGAGTGGCTGAATGAAGGTCATTGACGTTGCTAGACGAATATTTTTGGTTATTTAAGCTTTGTACTAACTCCGACTGTTCCACTTTAGGGAGAGTCCACTCTAATATCAAGTTGGCGTACAGAGCAGAGCAGAGCAGAGCAGGAATCAGACGTGTAAATGTTTTAGAGGTAGTCCATTTGACTGTCCTGTTCAATAATAATGTTCCTACTGCTGATAATATATGGAGATACGGGCCGAAATTAGGGGGGAAATTTCCACCGACAAAAAAACAAAACATTTTCGGCTCAAAATGTAAACATATTTTACACATTACATAAATGGAATTGATATCAACTTTTGACACCGAACCCATGGCGATTGGAGGTTTTACTTAAAGATACTATGTCCCTTTTGCAGCCAACATCGAATTCTGTAAAACTTTGCAGGAATTATGAATATGTTATGTATGTCCTATCTGTGAAATTCAAAGTTAGCAGTGTCCTATTAAATATTCAAATTATGCAAGGAAACCCGTTTACTTACTAGACTTCACTGTCAGACACTATTGAGTAAGTGACTGGCTTTTTTCTTCTTCTTTAGTAATAACATCCATAACATGAGCTGTAAAGGATATATGAGCATTTGTCTACATCAATAACCCACTTCTTGTAATGGCCAAAATTAAACTTATTGAATCTTTGCGCAGCATAAAACGTACGACCATTCGGTACAATGGTCTGAAAATCATCGATTCGACAACTAATAGTCGTTATTTTCGAACTTAAAGACATTTTCAAGCCCCCCCTTTTTTTTTTAAGGGAAGTTCTAAATAAGTAATATCTTTCAAATGCCGTTGGAGTTTAACCTTTTCATTTTTGGGGCCTGCAAATGGTATATAGTACCTTGAACAGTAATCTTTAAATCGCGAATTAAACCTACCAAAGACGTCCTCAATGTATTAATGCACGTACAGTATATGTATATTATACTTATTGTGGAAGTCAATTTGGTTGCTATAACTTTTCACTGAAATGAGATATCAGCCTCTGTTTTTCACAAGATAATGTCCTTGTACATTGGCAGATTCCTTGAAAGTTATGACAAGAAACATCTCTTCTTTTTTTTTAAATCATGTTTTTTTTATCTGAAATTGCGATGTTAATAAATCTTAATTCCGTTTAAATTGGTATCAGTCCTGTGTTGTCTATGCACCCTTCATGGGCCAAATTCTGAAACTCAATAAGCCAGTCCTCATCTTAGGGTTCAACGTTTTTCTTGTCGCAGAATATTAGAAAATACTCCTTTTTTATCGTTGTTGCATGTCGACACCCAATTGCTTCCTGACTATTCTTTAACTTCAACTTCTTCGCTTTCATTTTGATAGCTTTTTTCTTTTGCGGTGTTCCCGACCGTTTTTTTCTCCCATTTTTATGTTGAGTTCCCTTTTTGCTCTGGCATTTTTTTTCTCAAGCAGACCCTTCTGTACTGGTGTTGAAGTCAATATCTTTGAGTGTACAGTTTAGCTTTTCCTTGCGTTCTTGCCACGCGAAATGCTTTTGGAAAAGGTGCCACTTCAATCACACTTACTTCATCCGAACTCTGGAAATTTGGTTCACCACCTTTTTTAGTTTGCAAGACACTCGATTTTTCGAATGCCATTAGTAGTGCTTTGAATATCATGACGTTTTGAGGTTGTCACCAGTAGACCTATAGGCTTTTTAAATTGGTTGGATTGGTAATGTCACGTTGACATAGTGCCGATCAACTCTCTCATTTGTTTCAACACACGAAATGACTAACGTATTATTTATTTTTTCACAATGTATGACTCGGGAGTGTTTTTCCTTTTTAGCAGGAAAAACTCCCTCATCGGTTCATCCGATTGAAGACATGCAGATGAATAGGAGTAAATAGATCTTGCAATGGATCTTAAAGAAGGTGTCGTGTGCTGGCATGGTAACTTCAAAGTTTCGAGGGGATAGGTTGTGGCTATACCCTGCCATCACCCCCCCCCCCCCCCCCACTGTCTCCCGCCTCCAATGTCAAAGATACAAGTATTGTCTTAACATGAATACTATTTGATATCAAAACAGATTTTTGAGAAAGTTCCTCAGCACTTTCTTGACAACTTCAAGAATCCATGTTGGGTGCGGGACGGCGCGGAACTCAACTGTCTTCCGTATTTCTACGTGATTGGTATGTACAAATGCGGGACGACCGACATCTGGACGAAGATCGTTGACCATCCCGATTGCGTTGACGTTCCCAAAGAGCCCCACTGGTGGGGCCTCGTCGCCTTGGCTTCACAGGAACACCCTGTCACGTGCAAGAAGGTAAGACTACTCTTTATTGATTAATTACTGATATCAGCAATTTATTTCTCACCATTTATTTTTCTCTCTCTCTCTGTAGCACTATTGAAATTCACGTCACAATTTTGTCACTGTCCCATTGAATATGCGCATTATTTGAATATGATTTGATTTGTTTCATTGATTTCATTGATTTATATGTCTTTTCCTACGTACATATTCATGCTAAATGTTATGTCATAAAATTCATATTGAATTGAATCAAAATGGATTTATTTTCTTCTGCAACATACAAATCAAATTACATTTTAACAATACAACTTATAAAAAATATAACAATTTGTTTCGAATATATATGCAATATAATGATAAAACATAGTGAGATTGAATACAAATGCAAATGATAACATAATACCAAGAATTATTCATTAAAGAATCTGCAGAACAATAAGTGATTGCTTGATAACGTGATAGACCAGGATGGGGAGGGAGGGGGGGGGTATGATGAAGAAAAAAAATTGTAATGGTAAGAGTATTGATGATCATGCTGATGATGAAAATTAAAATGGAAATATGCTCATGTAAATATGTCTTATATAAGTATACGGAAGTTATAAAATATAGTGATGGATCTTTGATAGACATCTGGAAATAATATTACATATTAATTTAGCACTGGGGAAAAGATCAAACAATGTACTCTGATATAGTAATGCTTTCTTCGTAGAATTTAATTTAAATTTGGGTTTTACGTGATTCAATTGAGTCTGGTAGTGCTTCAATAGATCTGGACCATGTTGTTTCATTGATTTATGTTGTATCCATGATGTAGGATTTATCTAATTAAATTGTAATTATTTTTGTGAAGATGTTGTCGATAAGTGTTGCAGACCGTTCAGTAATTTATGTTGGACGCTTTATGTGCGAGACATATCAGAAAGACTTCTAAGAACCTTGCGGGAATTTATTTAGGTGACAATCAAGGAGATTTATTTGAAGGTCTCCCATAATGAAGCATTGTGTATTGCCACAGCGAGACTTGATATTATATTTTAGAGGGCTGTCAACAAATCTTTTTGATGGGATTGAGGGGGTCTGTTTTTAACGCCCACATTATCTTCCTACTTTGCTGCATGTTTACTTCAATGAACAAAAACTGAATAAACCCATCCATACAATTCAAATCAGATGTTGCAACAAAATAAAATCTCTGTGAAACATATAGAGCTACTCCTCCCCGTCAGCGTAACGAATCTTCGGAACTTTCTCATAATCGGGATTTTATTTTGAATAACTTGTTTTATCAGTCTCGTGTTACTCTCGGTTTAGTGGAACGTAGGTTGTGCGCTGACAAATACCCTATTTGTGTAACTTTATATTCAGTCTAAACCAAGCTATAGTACAGATATTAAACCATTGGTGGTCACCAGGTTCGTCTTAGTTTGTATACCTTGGACTTGCTCATTGATACAGGGTGTAAATTTTTTTTTGTTTTTGTTGCAGTGTTGAATTTGCGTAATATAACAGGAGGTGTTGATGACAGCTCTCTAGAATTCTATCTAAATCTATACAAGTCTACTGGAATTCCGATCCTTATCAACAATACAGCTACGAGACAAGGGATAACTTACCATCCGAAGGTTTTCGGTAGGTGATATTATTCCTTTTTTTATTTGAATCATTTTTACATGCACAAAATACATCATATGCACAATTATATAGTAATCACTGCTACTACTATCGTTGTTTTGTTATACAGCCAATGAGAGAAAGAAGGATGGAGTGGGAATATTGGTTTGTGAATTATACCGACCAATACATTATGTTTCAAAGCTCTTTTGTTTCAGCCTTTGACTAAGATTAGTCATAACGGTGGCTGTTCTAAAAACCACAAATCCTCCCTGTGATCGTTAAATCATCACGAGCAACAGTATTGATTCAAACATTAAATTAAAGGTTCAATAATGGTTATTTATATCTGACAATTGTATTAATAACATTGGTTGGTAATAGTAATACTAATGATAAAACAGTTTGTGTGAGATGAATGGCACTGACAATGACAGAAGCCGACTCTAAATTCAAGTGTACAAACTACGTTCTATTCCGCATTTATTCTTTCTGAGTTCAGAAGTCGATTCGGGTGTGTATTTCCATTGCTGCATATATATATGTAGTAAAAATTGGTTCTAACTTCACAAGCGCTTTCTATTTATTTTCATCAGGTAAATTGAAAGCGCTTGCGAAGTTTTTGAAACCATGCTCCTTTTATGCGTATCCTATTTGTAATGTTGTGAACTCTATATTTTACTACATATATATATATTTATAAACATGTAACATTGGAAATACACACCTAAGTCGACTTCTGAACTTAGAAATAATTCATGCAGAATACAAATTTTACTAAATATTTTAACACTGCATCTCGTCGGAACTCTAAATATATGTGTGTGTGGGTGTGTGTGTGTGGGTGTGTGTGTGTGTGTGCGTATGTTATGTGTGCCAATGGCACATAACCGTAGCCTTGTGCATGATTTGCAGCCTTTTCACACACGAGTAAAATTCAATTAGTTTAAAGAGCTTTAAACGAATCAGCTTTACATACGACATCATTCACACACAGAAATTTCGATGCGATCGTTTCGTGATTAGCTGCTCTTAAAATGCACAGTAGTGCCATTGCGCATTGAAGGTCTGGGGGGGGGGGCGTTTCATGAAACAGTTAGTCGGTGGTTTTCACCGACTAATATCATGTTCACAGACAATTTTTTTGTCACCGACTATTTTCCAGGCCTCTGATTGGTCGAATTTAGTCAGCGCTGACTAAATTGTCGGTGAACATGATATTAGTCGGTGAAAACCACCGACTAATTGTTTCATGAAACGCCCCCCAGGTCATATCAAACAAAGCGCACGCTCCATCCAGGGTTAAACACGTTCACACATCAAATGTCAAGCTCTCTAGATACGGACTTCGAATCTGCAGCCTGCTTTGAACCAACCTTTTCACACACAGCTAAAATTCATCGTATCTAGAGCTGATTAGTGTAAAGCTGTTTAACTCGAGTGTAAAAAGGCTGAACGGCGTATGAATCGCGACTTCAAACGACGTTCACACGGGGAAAATTTTCTTTAAAGCTGTTTAAAACTGTTGAGTTAAACAGCTTTAAACTAATCAGCTCTAGATACGATGAATTTTAGCTGTGTGTGAAAAGGCTGTATGACGGTTTCGTGAAACGATCGACGCTCTGTTGTTTGTTTCACGTTCCCCCCTATTTTTGGTTCTTATCAATATTCAGGTGATGCGTCGATCTCAACAGCCTACGCTATCGGTCGGGATTGGACGAAGACTTACCCGAACGCTTCCGAGCCCATGTTTACCAACGCCGATCTCATCCGAGCTGTACAACCCAATGCCAAGATTATCCTCATGGTTAGGGATCCGACAGAAAGGCAAGTTATTTCCAATTCAGAATTTTACACCGAACACTTGAAGCCCTGCGGTCAGTTGAACATATTTTGATACCCTGTCCGCCCTCGGAAGCTGAGGGGTTTAAGGCAACAAAAACAGTCAGATAAGCATTCAGGGGCCCGCCTTAGGGTCCTGGGTGGGTCGAGAGGGCGGAGCCCCCGGATGCTCAGGGGTTTAAGGCATTTTATTACGGTCAGATTAGCATCTATTGGTCCACCTTAGGGCCCTAGGCGGGGTCCAGGGGACAGAGCCCCGAAAGTTCTGGGGTATAACGCATTTAATTACGGTCAGATGAGGATATTTTGATACCTTATTTGTGACACTGGCAGGACACTCATTGGTGTGAGGTCCAGCGGGCGGAGCCCCCAGAAGCTTAGGGGTTTTACGTATTAAATTACCGTCAGATTACCATCCAGGGGTCCACCTAAGGGCCCTAGGCGGGGTCCAGGGGGCAGAGCCCCGAAAGTTCTGGGGTATAACGCATTTGATTACGGTCAGATGAGGATATTTTGAAACCTTATTTGTGACACTGGCAGGACACTATTTGGCGTGGGGTCCAGGGGGCGGAGCCCTCAGAAATCAGGTGTTTTAGGCATTAAATTACCGTCAGATGAGCATCTAAGGCCCCCTTTAGGGCCCTAGGTGGAATCCAGGGGGCACAGCCCCCGGAAGCTTAGGGGTTTTAGGCATTTAATCACGGCCCGCTCGCCCCCCCCCCCTGGATCCGCGCCTGGCCCCTCCATATATGTTTGTATCGTAGTCTTTTAGCATTTTATAAGAAATGACACTCCTACAAAAATTTCGTGTTAATGTATATTAAAATCGGGGTTGATTTCCTCTAAAAGTCTGATTAGGATCATATAACTTCATGGTGGTAATATTCTTATTATTATTGACTTGCTATTCTTGTTTGTTCTTTAATTCATTTTCAGGGCGAACTCATGGTATTGGTTCAGCCACCCAAGACACCCAAAAAACAATAGAACATTCCACAATTTCGTCGACAAAACTATCAGATGTTTGCAGGACTGTGTGAAGAAACATAACATCCGGTACTGTGCATATGCATCAGATTGCGTAAGTATAACAGCTTTGGGGGATCCTGACTGCTTCCCCTTTTCCATGGGATCATTTCCCTCTCAACTGGCTTTTCTAATGTACGACTTAAACTCTGTTGTCCTACCACAGTCTCTTGTCGGCATTTTTAGGAAAAATAGTCAAGCTCATGACCATGCTCCACGAAATGCCTCTGCGTTTCACTTACCCCAAGTAAGGACAAAGTTTACTTTTAAAGGTAATACAAAGTTTTGGTATAGGGTCATGAATTTAGTTCAAATGAACATATTGGAAGCAAAATGCGATTTTATAATATTCGATGATCGTTGTCGCGGTTGAAATCGAGTCTATGAAGTGATGAAATTGTAAATAATAAACTCTTTATGTTGTATAGCGCCCTCTAAAGTCTGATATTACTTTTGCTTGAAAAAATTGTTTCTTTACTACAATCGACCGATTTGCTATTCCCGTTTGGAAATTATATATCAGAACTGCATATTGTGAAGTTTCAAGGTTCCGGCTACCATGGAATGGCCTTAGGCGCTTTTGAAATATTTGAAATTTACCGGGAGAACCGGTACATTTTTTATTATTCAATATCTCGAAAGCAGAAGTGTTGTAGGGGTTAAATTTTCTAGTGCTTATAATACATACAGTAAATAATTACTATCCATCCATTTTTCAAAATTTACCAAAACTGTGCATTACCTTAAAAATATTTTGGTTTGTACTGGACCTAGGTTCCGGAACTCTCTTGGCTCTAGCGTTTATCAGCAATATGTTAGTCTCTCTGGCTCTCTGCATTTAAGTTTGCACTTAAGGTTTATATTTCGCTAACTACTGTGACTCATAGAGTAGTTCATTTTTGTAGTTATTTTGTATTACTATAGATGTAACCTTTCTTCTTCTTAATATTATGTGTCTAACTGAATATGTTTAGATTGTCAGCATTTTATTCCCTCCCCCTGTTGTCTTGTGCCCGTTGTGTGCTGTGCCTATTGTCGGTTTGCTGTATTTTTTTAATTTTTTTTATCATTTCTCATATTTATATCTTTTCTCCCGTCTTGTTAGTCGAGTCTCCCGATTTGTGTGCGTTTCTTGTTTCTTATACCACCTTTTTCTTAATGTATTCTAAGTAGTCACAAATATTTACTCCCATTATGTTTATCTATAGTTGCTTATTTGTGTACCAACCAATTATTTGGTTCAGAGAGGACCCTAAAACTTACAAGCTCTGCTTTTACCAGGGTCTCCTCTTCTTTCTTTTAGTTCACTTTGTTTTTATCATTGCCATATTTTTCTTTGCATTACAAATGTGTAATGATCTAATGTTATGCTCTATATGACATTTGCAATAAAGACGAATAAATATCTTATCTTATATAATCTTGTCTTATCTTATCTTAGCTAAAATGATTTTAGGACCTCTGCAACTTGCTTGCCCTAAAAGAAAAGGGCCGCGATAGCCTGCCTTTAACAAATAACAATATCCTCTTTCTCTCTCAATATGAAAAGGGACGTCCGTTTCAAGACCCCTCCTCGCACCGTGTTCGTCAAACATAATTTAACAAACAAGTGGTATTTTTAAAAGCTATGCATAACTGGAGAGAATTTATGAATAGGCTTCCAAAAGGTCTTGTCAGTTGATTTTTGATTTGATTCTATTTCTGCATTTTTCCAAATATATATAATAACTGAATATCAAAGAACATATAAACAAAAGGTTAGCAACGAAGTAAGGGTTCCCTTGAACATAATTATACTTAACATACGAACAGTAGCATTGCAACAAGTTAGTTTTACCCACATATATATATATTACCTTCTTACGGTTAATCATAAATGACTTGTGGAGAAAAAAGTGGCACCTATATAGGAAAACCTTAAATTAAAATATGCATACAATTTCTTGACACAATAATCCGCGTACAGCGAAGGTTTTACGTAGGCCCGTTCCACTGAAATGTCTTGTAATCAAATGTCTTTTAAGCCGTACGCTAACCTTTGGTGTGCTAATTTTCCTTTGTTTGCCCGTCTGGTACAACATGAATGGGTGTTTGGTGGGGATATAAAACACGGTCGATTTTTTTGTTTTTTTGTTTTTTTGGTGCTCCTCCTTTGTGGATGCCAACATTCTGTTTTTACTCTAACAACTTGCTTTAATTTCGTTTTTTTGTTTTGTTATGTGCATGATCTGACGCACCATTTGTGTTTTAAATGCACATTTAGTCATCGTAGCAAAGAGTCGACTTTGAAAGCAAAGAATGGGCTTCCATTAGACCTACAATCTTCTCCTGTTAACATTGGTTATAACTTATTTACATTAATTCAGATGGCTGTCTCCCGGGGAGGGGGTACTCACATATTAGGACATACGGGGGTGTGCCGCTCTAATGGGTCACTTTTTCACAAAAAAATCCCTAAACATGGGTCCCACTTTTAACAAAAATACAATTAAAAAAAGTGGGTCCGTCTTTTCAAAATTTCCAAAAATTGCAATATTTGTGGGTGTTTGCGGGGCAAATACCCCCAAAGCACCAAATATTTTGAAAAATTTGTATTACTTCGAGAAAAATGCCCCCAAATGCCCCCTAATAACGGGTAGGGGTTTCGAGGATTGAGCAGCACACCCCGTCCAAACCAAATCTAAGTATCCCCCGGGGGCGTCATATTTTTCTGCGGCACAGATTGGGGCTTTAAAAAAAAAAAGAGGTCTTGATTTAACCCTAACCCTTTACTTTCCAATAGGCTCAACACGCACCTAACCCCAATCTGTGCCGCAGAAAAAATAACGCCCTAGGGGGCTGTCTAATTACAAGGGGTGCTGTTTCGAACACAAATCGATCACTCACCCATAGAAGATATCTGAAACCCGTATCCCTTTTTGCAATAACTCCACTGCTGGTTTTAACATAGAACTTATGTGCAGTTGTGATGTTAAATGTAATCGAAGGTACGGAACGTAGTTGCGATCGTGTTAAAGGGATAGTTGAGTTCTGTTTTCAGACCGCAAATGCCTTCAAAGTGCATGGTTATTGCTCCTATTCTTATCTATGACATTTATAGTGCCCTCTTAGAACCTAAAATTGCTATGAAGGTAATTTTAGACCCCAACATGTCTGAAATTTAGCCAATACGATCATACCAATTCAGCTCCACTTTCCAAAAAACACGGCGACCGTTAATTAATTATTTAATTAAAAATAACAATAAGTGAGCCGGCTAATTGTGGGTAAACGAAAAAAGCCAACATCGGCATTGGCAAAATACGACGTAAAAGGCGTTATTTCGTTTTTTTCAACGGTTTTTTCAAATTTTTCTAAATATCTAATATTTGTGGTGGTACACAAGGATTAGAAATCGTTATATTTCAGCCGTCTCTGAACCGATTTTGATCAAACAAAGATGATTTTGTCATTTAAATATTATGTTCTTTCAAATTTGACACTCAGTTTTTCATTATCTCACAAAAAAAATATTTTGTGTAGCGCCCTCTGCAACAGAACTCAACTATCCCTTTAAGGTTTGTTTTAAGAAAATATAAATGAATGGCAACTGCGCGAAACAAAGCACTTGCGCGTATTCACTGAGCTCTGTGCTATAAGATATATAAATGTGAATCGTATTGCACTTTCCGTCATCAATCATAAAAGAAAACGCCGAAATAGCTTAACGAGCCTTGAAAACGACATGGCCCTGGTATGATGATGGTGATGATGATAAGATGATGATGCTTACTTTACCTGACTGCTAAGAAAGCATAAATGCTTGTAAATAAGCAACCAGACGGCCAACGGCTTTAGGTTCTCACCGAGGGACCTGGTGATGAGGATTAATGCCTTACCAAAGGGCACTAGCGCATCGATTTGGGTATCATTATCGTTTTTTCCATCCGGCTTCTGCACAAAAGTGGGCATCGGAAAAACAATTTAATGTTCATCATTGCCTCCTGGATCTTACAAACAAAATTTGCTATATCCTATTTTTCAGCCGTATAAGCTGATACCCGAACTCCAAGCGGGACTCTATTATGTGTACGCTCGTGATTGGATGAACGCTTTCTCACGTGATGGCGTACTCGTCATCCGATTAGAGGATTGGCAAGCAGATCCTCTTCGTGTTTACAGGCAACTGATCAAATTCCTTGACTTGAGTAAGTCCAAAAACTTTTCATGGGTTGATTCTATAATTTAGGACTATTAAGAATTGTGTCGATTTTTTGGTCCCTTGATGCTTTGTTTTGGGGGACGTATTGGATAACAACTCAACAAAGACTGTAAAGAAAACTGTTTGAATTATTTATTATGAAACATTGTATATACGTATATAGATATACTGGCCCTTTAGGAGTGGGGTAGAAAGCAATATGAATCAAAATATGAATCAAAATATCGTCCTATCTTTGAATTAGCAGTTTGTTATCGTAGAACCACAGACTATTAAAGCATAATCCCCTTTTCCCCAAAAGAGAAGGCGCTGAGAAGTAAAATGGAAATTAAAGATTATTAAGTACACGCTAGAGAGATGATCGTGAATGTGTCACGAACCACGGATTAAAGTGTCAATTTGAGATGTGACAGATTTAATGATCCCATATTTTAAATATCCAAAACTTTCCTGTTCTATGCCTGATATCTTAAAAACGTCGATCTTTCCATTTTCCTATTTTTATTCTTTAAACAGTTCTTAACCTTGGCATGATGCTTTAGATGACCAAACAGTAGGGAATCTCGCCTGACATGTCACCATAGTGCATGAATTTCAATTTCAGATTCTTTAAAATTTGGCAATCATGGATAAACATTTCGGAATAATTTCCCCACTGTCATTTCCAAATATCGCACTCTCATATTTCAAAGATAGAAGAGTGCTCTACATAATGATACAAATGCTTACTTTACAAATTTTCACCTATGACCGGCCATACCCCTTAAACATTCTGATATACTGCTCACTCCATGGCTGCAAAATCATATCAAATATGGTATATATATATTTTTTTTAACACACTTTTTCATAATAATGCTTTTTTGTTTGTTTTTGTTTTGTTTGTTTTTAGAAAGTATTTAATTTGTTCCTTCAACGAACCAAATTGAACATATTCGGAAAAAAGAAGACATTATGTTACATATAAAGTCATTGGTTATATTACAAGTCATAACGTTGAATGAAGATGAAGATAAAAATGTTGTTCCTGCCCCCCCCCCTCTCCGTGTACCCTGCCCGAGAAATCTAGCCTCCCTCCCCTATTCCCCTTCCTATCCTACCCTCCTCTCCCCTCCTAACCCCTCCTCCCTCCCAAACTAACTGATTTGCGGTGGGGGAACACAATTACTAATAATTTGTGTTAAAGGTATTACAAAGTTTTGGTATGGGGTCATGAATTTGGTTCAAATTAACACATTGGAAGCATATGCGTTCCTACAATATTCATTGATCGTTGTCGCGGTTGAAATCGAGTCTAAAGTTATGAAATTATGAATAATATACTATTTATGTTGTATAGCTCCCTCTCAAGGTCAAGATATAAATTTAGCTATGAAACAATGTTTCTTGACTAAAATCGACCGATTAGCTATTCCCGTTTGGAAATTATATATCACAACTACATATTCTGAGATTTTCATGGTCGCAGCTACCATTGTACGGTCATAGTCGCTATTTGAAATTTATCAACATTTACCGGGAGCACCGGTAAATTTTTATATTCAATTTTTCTCGAAAACAGCAGTGATTTAGGGGCTAATTTTGTTAGTACTTATAATACATCCACAGGGGCATCCAAATATATAAAAAATGTAAAGATTCACTATCCACCCAATTTTCAAAATTTCCCAAAACTTTGTATTACCTTTAACCCATCTCGTCGTCCCGTTACATTTTAGTACCTACAAATAAATATAGAATCAAAACCAAAAGGAAATAACCGAATACTTATCCCAATTTAAAGCAATACATAAAAACAAAAACAATACCGAGCCTTATAAACTAACCAAAGGCACCTATAACTGATCCAACTTGAGTCTCCAGACTTTTCTTAGAGGTTTATTTACATACATTAAAATATTTTCAGCCTATGTAATTATGTTTGTTATGTTTTGTATATTTACAGGAAAACTCAGCGAGGAAGAAGAGAACAGAATCATCCATAAAACTCGAGAAAACGTTAATAGAAGAAAGCGTATACTTTCGCCTCAAACGAAGAAGATTTTGGACGATTTCTATCGGCCTTACAACAAGGAAATGGCGCTTTTAATGAATGATGACAAATTCCTTTATCCTTCAAATTAACCACCCCCCCCCCCCCCCCTCTGCCATATAACAAAAATACAGGAAACTACAAAATAAAATCCCTGCAGAGAACAAACAAATATCAAACCGTGATAAGTAACCTAACACAACCAGGGGGCGTTTCACAAAACTTGTCATCAGTGACAAATGACTGTTTTTAAGCTACTGAAATTCTTGCTTCTGATTGGCTATCAGCAAATTTGTCACTGATATTTGTCATTTGTCATTGCAAAAAGGCTTTGTGAAACGGGCCCCTGTGTCTTATTTCATCTATTATATTATATTAAAAGTGATGGAAACAATTTTTTTTAAAAGTCTTATAGACATTTTTCCTCAAGATGCTGTACCCTGATTACATCATCTAGTTATTCTGGATAATCCATTTTCATGTACAGTTAACGACGGTCACAATCTCGATCATTTGTTTCATGTTTTAGGATCTGTTTTTATAGCCTGAGCCAGGAAAGTCTTCATTTTGTAAAATAATTCACATTCTTGATTTTGCCGATTCATTTGTTGTGTAAAATAAAGTTTATAGGTAATTGAAATTACAAATTTCGATGATGGTGATGCAGATGATGATGATGATGATGATGATGATGATGATGAAGACATGACATGTTAAAGAATGAAGAGTTGACACAGAAATTCTACATTGGGTATTCTGATAATAACATCGTTTTAACCTTTGCCTTAAATGAGTAGAGGGAGCAACATGATTTAATAGATTATGGGAGAGAGTTCCATAGGTCAGGACCATGGTGTCATATGGATCTGTGGGCAATAAGTAATTTCGGGTTTACTAGATGAAAATTTAAGGAATTACGGGTAGGGTAAGAGTGAATAGCTTTATTCATAGTGTAAAAGTTTTGAAATGAAAGAGGGAATTTATGTCGAATACTGTTAGGGTTTTCAGTTTGTAAAATATTGGACTTGTGCGAGATAAATATGGTGAACCAGTATAGTGCAATATATAAATAGAGTTGATTATGGTTTTGGCGCTGGTAGCCCATAATAAATTGCAATATGTTATATACGGTAATATCAATGAATTATAAATAACAAGCGTATAACATGGGATTAGTTTCTTCATTTTACATAATAAACCAACGTTCCTAGAAATAGTGATATGACGTATATGTTCATTCCAGTTTAGATTTTCATCGATAATGACACCCCAAAATGTCGTTGTTCTCTTTCTTTCGAGAGGGACATTATCAATAATTATGTTGTAAGGAAAGTCAATGACATGAGAATTAGCGTGCTTGAAATACATGAAATTTGTTTTATTTATGTTAAGGGATAACTTATTGCATTGAAACCATATAGATAATTTTGGTAACTCATTATTCAGTCTATTTGCTAAAGTGTTTAAATTAGGATGTGAACAGCAGATAATCGTGTCATCAGCAAATAGGACAAATGATAAAAAAGGTGTTTTATTGGTTAAATCATTAATATATAATGGAAAAAGCAAAGGGCCTAAAATTGATCGTTGAGGAACTCCACATTTGCTAGGCAGGAAACTAGACAAAATATCATTATACATATTGTTTTCTGTTAGATAAATAGCTCTCAAACCATGACAGTGCAACTCCACGAATTCCATAACAGTAAAGTTTTTTCAGTAAAATTTTGTGGTCCAGTGTATCAAAGGCTTTCGATAAATCCATGAATACTCCTATTACATGGTCTTTATTGGCCATAGCGTTCGTTATTTTATCATATAATTGTACTAACGCTTGGTCAGTTGAATGTCGTTTTCTGAAAACATATTGATTTAGATTTAGGAAATGAAAAGGATCTAAAAACTTATAAAGCCTATTGTAAATAATGTTTTCTAAGATTTTGGATATGTTGGGAAGAATATAAATAGGCCTGTAATTGCCAATGTCGTGATGATTTAAAAAAAACAACAACAGGATTTACCGTAGCAATTTTCAAGGACTCTGGACATTTCCCGGTATCAATTGATAGATTAAAAATGTGAGTTTAAGGAAAGGAAAGCACTAATTCTATTGTGACCCTGTGATTAACTTAATTTTAGATTTTTGGTTATTTCATTAGGATCAGTGGGATTAAAAAACAGTGATGAATTTGAGGGTTCAGGGAGAAATGTAGTAAAATTTTCGTTCGGTGTATTAAGTTTATTTGCTAAATTAGGTCCTATGTTTACAAAATAGGAATTAAAGGTATCGGCTACATCTTCAGACTTTATAGCTATATCATCTAGTTTAAAATTATCATTGGCCAATTTTTAATTTTTTCCCCCAATCAAATTATTAATAATCCCCCATGTAGATTTCATATTTGATTTCACTCTACTAAGTTTGTCGGAATAGTAAATTTTACGAGAATTTCGAATGATGTTAGTTAATTTATTTCGGTATGTTTTATATTTGTTTTTGTTATGAATAGTTGAGTTCGTTAGAAAAGCCTTGTACAGTTTATTCCTTGTGTGTATCGATTGTTGAATTGCTTTTGTTATCCATGGCATTTTACAGCGCTTATTTTTCTTGCTCGCAGACACTAGAGTGTTGTAAATCTAAATCAGATAAAACACACGTACATCGTGACAACAATTAAATAATTCATATCTTAACCGAGTTTTGTATTTTTTTCAAATAGGTGAATTTATTTTATTTTCTTGAGAATGTGACATATTAAAGCTTAGAATGAAAAGTATTTAACAAAGGCCCTAATTCAACCAGTCCATCTTTCACTCTTGAGTTACAATACAACAAAAACATCTAATTTACAAGGGGTATACATTATTTAATTGAACAAGTACAAGCATTTATATATACAGGTAATGATAGACATTAATTTTGATTAAATATTATTTCATCACTAAAAGCACACGAACCTTAGACATGTTACATTCATGTTAGCTTGGTAAATTTGGTAAACAACATTGAAATTGGAATGTCGAATATTCGATAACCTTTCCTGCTGCATAGGATATGCCAATTTATGCAAATATATGCATATCTATGCAAGGTTTATTTAGGTTGGAATAATTCTTAAGATGCATAAAGTTAGGTCTCTGAACAAAGTTTCGGGAAAAGGTCAGATACATGCCAAATTTTGATTCTACGTATTGCTGTTTTTACTCTCGATATATTCCACGAGTACAGTTATTAAAGGCACAATTTAAAATTTGGCAATTTATTCCATAATCGTGAATGCTGACCCTTGAATTAGAGTATACATTTATATTTTTCCCCCTGCTTATTTCCATATTTCAGGTAAAAAAAATACAGTTTTGGGATGTGGGTTCAAGAAAAATTTATAATTATTTTATCAAAGCACTGCAGCAAACGTATGATTTACAGGTAAGGGATGGGCAAAATGATTATGATTTCATAGATAAAGAATTAAAAGAAATATTTGTTAGACCAAGAATTACTATACTCATTAGAAAACAACGAGAATTTCAATTTAAATCATTGCATGGAGCCATATAATTTATGTTCGTTTTGTAAGCAAGAAATAGAAACAAACATTTATTTTCAGTTAAATGAAATTAAAGATTTAGAATGGCGAGATGTATTTGTTGGGTTGGCAGGTAGTTCATATAGAATAAAAATGTGTAATACTATCATTTTCATGGTAAAGTATGTTACATTTATGTCAAGGGGGGGGGGCGAGTACCAAATTTATAAAAGATGAAAAAAAGCATTTTTAAGTATAGGGATGAGGAAAAGAAAATAGCAATTAGAATGGGAAAGCTGGGATCACAATTCTTAAAGTGGGAGCAGCTGAAGATTAATTAAGATTTGTTTTCTTCTCCACCGTGAGCCTGTTAAAAGTGTAACTCTATTTTGCGACCTGGATAACTTACTTATTTAGTATATTTTTCCTGAGTTGAGAATGTTAGCAGACATCCACTGAGTGAGTAACTAGTGTGTGTGTGGGGGGGGGGGGTGGGGTGAGTATGTGTGAGGGAGGGGGCAGGGAGGAGCAGGCATTGTCCCAGTAAAATTACCTCCAGATTTGTTTAAGTTTTTTGTTTTTATATAAGTGAATAACATTTACAATTGACATATATTTTAGGTTAAGGTACTATTGAACACGTTCATTTTCTTCAATTGTATGTTATGGTTTGTATTACCCCTCCCCCCCCCCCCCCCCCCCCCCCCCCACTGAGCGAATTTTTTGCCGGCGCGATTTTCAAATTTTCGGGAGCAAAAGAAAAAAGAAAAAATATTAGTACTCACTTTTAGGTGAATGTTATTTGTCACGAAGTAATTATGAACTGTCTGTATATACCATTCCAGACAATGAAATGTTAACAGATTTTTAATAGCCTGATTTATGTCTTATTTTCATGGGAAAATTCAAAAATGGTTGGGAGAATTTACTGTTTCAAGTTTCAAGTTAATTTATTTCCACTTTATCGAAGATTACATAATTGAACATGATGTCGAGCATGGTAATAATAAGAACTAAACATAATGTACATGGTATAAGTATGATAGATACATTGCAAAAGGCTAAATGAAGTGTGGGATCTACTAAAAAGCAAAGCTTGTAATACAAGCTTATAATACTATTATGTAGGTCCCAGTTAATAGGTTTGTATATAAATTAGGGTATCTGAATAAACATAAGATATTTACAAAGGCATATGATTATACGAGGGTTATCTTTAAGTGACATATTTTAATAATCATAGCATAAACAATTGAAAGAAAAAAAGGGGGAAGATCGAGTTCAATGCTTTCCTCAGCATAATTGGCAATTATGACTCGTTAAAATTTACATTATTAACATAAACAAAAAGTGCATAAGGTGAAGTGGGACAGCCCATTTCACCCCCAATACAGGGAAAAAACGACAAAATACCCCAAAACATTAACAGTTTTCACCACAATAATGTTTTGCAAATATATTGAGCAAAATTGAATATTAGGCTAGGTAAAAAAAAAAGAGTTTAATGTTTTACAATATCACAATTCTCTTAAAATTTACAAACTAACATTTGAATAAAAAACTTTAAAAAATTCATATATACTTTGATCAAATATGATATTCGACCGTGCTTTCATACTATAATCAATGATAAAATGACCAAATATCTATGATTTTTTTCCATAAATTGCTAAACTACTATCAAGAATATAAAGTCAACACAGATTTCAACACAGATTGGTCATCGAAGTAGTGAACATCTTCTAATAGAAAAATATATATCACTTTCTCATATAAATGTATATAACCCCGGGTTCGATTCCAAGAGGAGAAATTTTGCAACCTTTCAAACAAACTCTGAATGAGAGGACAGCAATGGGAACAGTCTGTTTAAAAAGTATGCAGATTATATTTGATAGCGACTATTTGTAGACATAAATGAAAAATGAAAAAGGCTTCAAAAAGGCTCTGGTAATATAACAAAAATATACCTAAAAATAAATCTCAGAACATTACGCTTTTATCACACCAAATCTTAAAAGAGCTCCCATATTTAAGCAGATAGAGAGATGTCTATCATCATAGCAGCTGCTCCATATTTCAAGACTGACTGCGACTGATTTCATTTGGTTTAATATGTAAAATGATTTTGTGTGTATCACTATCTGCATATTTATATATACATGTATAAATATATGTACATTATATTTCATTTCAATTGTATTAGCTATTATGCTTATACATATATATACATATACATACACGTATAGTTATATACATGTTTGTATGTATGTACAAATTCTCAACCAGCACTTTCTTTTAACCAGTGCATGTGAAAAATGTGGTCCATAATACAAAAATAGTTACAGTAATGTAGAAGTAAGATAGCAGCAATTAAGTTTAAAAATGTACAACTTATTTCCATTATATAGGTAATTAATACAAGATGCTAGAAAACATTTAATTGATAGAAGACTTAAGACAGCATCTTCCCAAATGGGAATGGCCATGGACACAAACATAGCATAGTATAAGCATTAGTATACACATCAAAACAACAGGTCAATACAATACGAGAGAGTATTATATACAATGCATCTTATACTTACAATATCTGTGCACATCTAATTTACGATACATTTGGTAACAACATTCTATTGTCTGAACATTTATATGTACCCATATGCTTACAATGGTTTTACATTTATCAACACATACCGATGCAGCAGTAAACCTTCTATGTATGAATGCAGCATTCATTTCCATGGCTTTTATTTCACCTGAATTTCCTAGCACTAACGTTCCCATACTTTAAATCAATAACATTAGACACATTTCACACTTCATCTGTATCTAACCTTTGTATCAAACTGGGTTTGAATTATGCATTAAAGAAGTTTCCAAAGTATTCTTACTGAACAATTCTACAATGTCAACTTTAAAGGAATTTTGCCTCTCATAACTTACTGTAGCATAAGAACTAATTATGCTGATTCATGTGTCCATTTTTATAAAAAGGTCTGCAACTACAGACTAGCATTCATGCTATATTGCACCATGGGAGTGCAAATTTTCAAATTTTCAAAAGCCCCCCCCCCCCCCCCCCCAAATACCCCAAAACATTAATTTACAGTTTTCACCATGATAATGTTTTTGCAAATATATTGAGCAAAATTGAATATTAGGCTAGGTAAAAAAAGAGTTTAATGTTTTACAATATCACAATTCTCTTAAAATTTACAAACTAACATTTGAATAAAAAACTTTTAAAAATTCATATATACTTTGATCAAATATGATATTCGACCGTGCTTTCATACTATAATCAATGATAAAATGACCAAATATCTATGATTTTTTTTCCATAAATTGCTAAACTACTATCATGAATATAAAGTCAACACAGATTTCAACACAGATTGGTCATCAAAGTAGTATACATCTTCTAATAGAAAAATATATATCACTTTCTCATATACATGTATATAACCCCGGGTTCGATTCCAAGAGGAGAAATTTTGCAACCTATCAAACAAACTCTGAATGAGAGGACAGCAATGGGAACAGTCTGTTCAAAAAGTATGCAGATTATATTTGATAGCGACTATTTGTAGACATAAATGAAAAATGAAAAAGGCTTCAAAAAGGCTCTGGTAATATAACAAAAATATACCTAAAAATAAATCTCAGAACATCACACTTTTATCACACTAAATCTTAAAAGAGCTCCCATAAGCAGATAGACAGATGTCTATCATCATAGCAGCTACTCCATATTTCAAGACTGACTGCAACTGATTTCATTTGGTTTAATATGTAAAATGATTTTGTGTGTATCACTATCTGCATATTTATATATACATGTATAAATATATGTACATTATATTTCATTTCAATTGTATTAGTTATTATGCTTATACATATATATATATACATATACATACACGTATATATAGTTATATACATGTTTGTATGTATGTACAAATTCTCAACCAGCACTTTCTTTTAACCAGTGCATGTGAAAAGCGTGGCCCATAATAGAAAAATAGTTACAGTAATGTAGAAGTAAGATAGCAGCAATTAAGGTTTAAAAATGTACAACTTATTTCCATTATATAGGTAATTAATACAAGATGCTAGAAAACATTTAATTGATAGAAGACTTAAGACAGCATCTTCCCAAATGGGAATGGCCATGGACACAAACATAGCATAGTATAAGCATTAGTATACACATCAAAACAACAGGTTAATACAATATGAGAGAGTATTATTTACAATGCATCTTATACTTACAATATCTGTGCACATCTAACTTACGATACATTTGGTAACAACATTCTATTGTCTGAACATGTATATATACCCATATGCTTACAATGGTTTTACATTTATCAACACATACCGATGCAGCAGTAAACCTTCTATGTATGAATGCAGCATTCATTTCCATGGTTTTTATTTCACCTGAATTTCCTAGCACTCAACGTTCCCATACTTTAAATCAATAACATTAGACACATTTCACACTTCATCTGTATCTAACCTTTGTATCAAACTGGGGTTTGAATTATGACGTTAAAGACGTTTCCAAAGTATTCTTACTGAACCATTCTACAATGTCAACTTTAAAGGAATTTTGCCTGTCATAACTTACTGTAGCATAAGAACTAATTATGCTGATTCATGTGTCCATTTTTATAAAAAGGTCTGCAACTACAGACTAGCATTCATGCTATATTGCACCATGGACCTACCAATGATTGCACCCAGTGAGTCACATGCTCCGCTATATAGATGCCTTACACAAAAATATGCCTGCATTGTATCTTGCACGATGCACACAAGAAACCAGATTCTCTAACTAGACTCATAATGTGGAGTCAGGAGTGGAATCATGAAAACCTAAGTCTCCTGTCAATCCTTTCGTGAAAGACTCAACCAAATGTAATCTGGAGAGAAAAGGAAAGAAAGAATGCATTTATATATCAATTATACAGTCTTACATTTACACCATCACATGCTTCACATGCTAAGCATAAAAATACAGATTGGGATATCTTCCTTTCTTTCCCCCCAAGTGATCAATAGACTATCGTTTTATTGCTCCATACATTCAGATACAGTTAGTTCAATTTGATAGACAGGCTTATTTCAGCGATGTCAAGCAAGGAAGTCCTGAGCTCCAACAAGGCAGTGAGTCTCTTCATACATCTTGAGCATTTCCCTCCATCTATTGTGACATCGCAGTAGGTACTGGTTACCTGATTTGAAGTAAAAAAAGAAAGAAGAAATACCTTTTAACAAATATTTAAAAAATCATTTTTTTCTACAGTACACAAGTACAAGCTACTTTAGAAAGCAATTAATAGAAAAAATGACTTGCACAAAACCCCCAAAACAACCAATGTTAGTTTAACATGGTCCTGTTTGTACTGACCTTTTACAAAACTTAAGATTTTCCAGATGCTCATTCCAAAAAGGATTCTTAAACTGAACCACACTTACCTAGTTATATCAGTGTCTCATACATTGTGTTTTCCATTTAGCATTATTTAAAAAATATGTATGTTCACAACACTTGAGAAGAGACCAAGAATGTTCAAGAGGTTAAACAATTCTGCAAGAATACAGAATGATAATGACCAGATCTTGAGTAAACAAGTAAAACATATATTCTGTTGGGCTTTTTTTTAAATTAAAAAACAACAACCTTGCACTCTCTGAATAATGGTGGGTCTAAAAAGGGTATCTTGCTATGGTCAACCACTCCATGAAATAATTCAAAGCTAAATTACCGACGATGATAAGCCCTTGCTTGGCCCTTGTCAAGGCAACATTCATCTGGTTCTCGTCGTTGATGAATCCAAGATGTTTCCTCTGCCAGCCTTTGCTTGGCTTTTCTTCAATCTCAATCCGAGGTTTGGAGCGCACGGTTGAGAGGACAACATAGTCCCATTCGCTTCCTGCAAACAAATGAGTTTGAAAACCAACTTTTATTTTCAACCTAACTACACATACCTTTTCTCTAACAACCACCCCCTATAGCTATCAGCCCCTGAACAATTTACCCAGAATTACCCCCCAAAAGGCTTGTTAACATAATGCTCACTACCTGCGCTTTACATTTCTGAATCTTATAGCACACAGATAAGTGAGAACACATTTCTTGTATTTGGTAAGTTTCAAGAGTAATTTGATATTTCTGAAGGGACAAATGTATGGTTAGTTGATTCTCATGTATACATTGGTTAGCAGTCCAGTCTTTCATCCAGTTCAATATACTTTTATTTGCTTTTGAATATTGAATGGGCTAGCTCCCTAGTATTGAAATAAAATACTCACTGAATACAGGCTAACAAGTGATCTTTGATCATGTCTAAAGATTGTGTTTACTTAATAGATACAGTAAGCACTACATAAAAACTGATTTACTGGTATTGTTAATATTAACTGTACCTTGACTTTTGACCACAGTGCTGACTTTGATCTGTCGGAGATTTCTGTCACTTTGAAGCCTTTCTTCGATCTGTGCACACTGGAGGCGATACTGAGACAGGACGATAATCTTCTCGGGTGACACCCCTCTGCTGATCATCTCTCGGACGATTCTGATCTGTGGCCGTTTAAGATTAGGGAAGCAGGGGAGGAGAGACGATATAAACCAACAATTTCACTCATGAGCAAAACCCCATGGCACGCAAAAAACATGTCCAGGTGAGACAAGGGTATTAATGCCATGTACATATTTCATATTAACGTCATTCGTACATTACAGAACCATCACTGAAAAATCTTACTACTTGTACATCTACTGTGATTATACAGGTACAAGTGCAGGTCTTTAACGTCACTACATTTTATAATGCTACCTATTACAAACTACAAATTTTAATGATGTTACATGATTCACTAGCGTAAAGTCAATTTTAGCATAAAGGACACGACATTCAGACCTATTTTAGGTCATCGTCGGTGGGGTGACAAAACCTTGTATCTCAATTTTTTGAGATTTTGATTTTTTTGCATAATTGAGTACCTAATGGCTACAACACCACCTGATAAATCCATGGAACGCCTCTTGTCTCGGTTTTTTTTCACAAATTCCACACAAAGGACGGTGTCACAGCACTAAATCCGTTGAGACAGGAAATTTTTTTCGCTCTCCTGAAAATTTATGATTTTTGAGATACGAGGTTTTGTCACCCCACCGACGTCATATTAGATACTTTTCAAATATCAGGGACATACCCAGCACATTTTGCCTAATATAAAGTTGAAGAGAAAATGGACTAGCTCTTTGTAAATGTAATGGACATGAAATAAAATGGCAAGGATTTATTACTGTGTACAGTTTGAAATGTTGAGTCTAATTGAAGTATTTAAAGACTTAAGCTATGGTCACATCACCTAAAAGTAGCCTGCTTGGCAGCCGGGCAGCGAGTTTTGAGCCATTTTCGCCCAGGCACCGAGCGGTGGCCGCCCTGGCACTGCTTGTTTTTTTTAGGACATCGCTCAGTCGCTGCTGAAGCTTTAGCGCAGAGTTAAAATGTGGGCAACGCCTGCTCACTTTCACTTGCTGCCCAAAGTATGCTCTATGCTCTATGCTAAATTGCTTGACGGTGAACGCTCGATTAGGTCGGTACCGGACGGCGACCGCCCGGGCACCGACCTAATCAAAAATTGAAAAAAATAGAAGCCGCTAGGTCACAGGCTGCTGAGCGTTCGCCCACCCGGTCGCCGCTGGAAGATCAGTCGGTCACTGGGCGGCAAGTTAAAAATCGGTCAGCAACTTTTGACCAAGCAGCTTTGATTTTTGACCTAAATCGCTCGACGGCGAACGCTCGATTAGGTCGGTGTCCGGGCGGCGAATGATCGAGCACCGAGCGTATTTTGGCGCCCCGCCCATCACCAGTCGGCTGCCGGGCAATTTCCTTAAAATTAGCCGGTGGCCGGTCGGAGACCGCTCGGGTATCGGTGGGTCATCGGTTGGTCACTGCCGGGACGCTGCCCGGAGAAGCTCTCCGATTTTGCCCAGTTTTGACCTAAAATTGACCTGTGACTGCAGACAGGAAATTGACAGGACACTGCCCAGGCATCGCTGGGGCTCTACAGCCTTCTCAACTTCTCAAAAAAATTGTTGGCCGATGCCTAAATTCCAGCAACAACCGAGCAGGCTACTAATCGGTCAGTCGCTGCTCTGATTTGTGACCATAGCTAAACTTGAGTTCTGGTAAATATAGAAAATAAATTCTCACAGAATCCTACGAGACTTACACTGAATGTTCAAGATTACAAATAAATGACATTTGCCAAACAATTTTGGTAGAAAATGTATAGTGGATGAGTAATGAGCATAGAAAGATAAGGAAATCCGGTTAAGTAGACTCGTCACCATGTGCTTCACACAGGTTACAATGTCAAATGGGAGTTGTGGTTTTTATTGAAGATGCTGCCCAGTATTAAAGTTTGTGTACGTTTGTTTTTATTTCACTGGTTCAAACAACTCATCTACTGCAGGATTAACAATCCAAAATTATTCTTGGCAATTTCCTCTCAAAATACGATTCCCATGCCAGCTGAGCTCCAGATTAGCCCTAACCTACCTTAAATCTCTGTGTATAAGACGCATCTTTTTTTGTTGATCTTGGTCCTAATAAATAGGGTGCGTCCTATATTTTTATTCGCATTATGTAATTCATGTTGAGACACAAACATTTCTAAAACAACTAAAAAGTGGCATTTTGAGGACTCAAAATATCCTGTACCTGTGTCTAAGACGCACCCCCGACTTTTAAATTTGTTCTTGCATAAAAAAGTGTGTCTTATACACAGAGATTATATATATAGTATATGTGAACCAGTTGATTTACCTCAATAAATCAATGTATCTACCTATTTTTTGCTAGTTTACATAAACTACGCAGCTATAGAGAACTAAAACGTCACATTCGCGCATGCCCTACCCCAAACCATTACCTTCCCAGGGTCCACGTGCGCAACCACATGCCCGCTATCTTCCTCTTTCTTTTCTCATATAAAGCTATTAAAGTCACTGTTTTGGATTTTTATATTTTTTGGCACGGCTTAGTTAGTTTTACACATTTAATTCCGTCCTCATTTTAATTATGATTATTTTGGTAGTACATGCTTCCCGTCACTTTTCTTAATTTAGGCACAATTTCGACTTTCATTTCTGCCCCACATTTCCTACTTTCATGTATGGTTTGCAGGCTTTGTTTCCGCTGCTTGGCTCGACTTTCTGGCACCGCTTAACGCCTTATTGTCAGTTGGGGTTTTTTCGTTTAGCTTGTGGTTAATTTATTCATCCGCCTAGCATCCCAACTAAGCTTGTGCTGCTTCGCTGAGCACAGCTAGCTGCGGCTTTCGCCTGCTCATGTTTGTTTGGATTTAATTTTCGTGTATGCTTTTGGGGTTTGAGTTTATTTTGTGAAATATTTTACTTGAGATTGTTTTATCTGGCAATAAAGTGAGCGCTGAGTTTATTTCGCTCTAGCTCTCTCTGTTTGGATTTTCTCTGTGTTTGGTTTTTCTCTTGGTCTACAGGTTCGTCATGGATGCTTCTGAACCTGGTACCCGTGCCTCTCCTCCCTCAAGAGCGAGGTCTTCCTCGTACACGGTCCACTCTGTCGGGTATTTGGACTTGGGTGTCCAGGACCTCGGTCAGGTTTAACCCTGTCCTGGTTTGCAGGGTTTTGACCCGACCCGACCTAACGATTCGATCTGGTACCAGTTTGCCGAGATTGTGTCCGACTTTTCGTATCTCTCCTTCCAGTATGCGGACTTGTTTACATGTACCTGATACTCAGGATCCTGTTTCTCATACCGGTTTGATACCCGGTTATGACCAAAGCTGCCCATCCTATCACGGTGGTGCTTGTGGCTCCTCCCGGTGAGGAGTCTACGAATCGTTGTTGCGTCCACCCCCTTGAGGCTAGGTTCCCCACGTAGCTGGTTTTGAAGGTCAGGTTGGTGACTCTGAGTCATCAACTAAGTCACTAGTCAGCGCAGCCCCCAAGCCCTCATGATTTGGCAGTCGACGCCCTGGCTCTCCTGGAGTCTAACTTACCTGAGGCCTTCACACCGGCTCTGCCAGATGCGGCCAAGGCTTCCCTTCTCTTCAGACAAGGGGCCCCCTAACAGGAATACCGCTGACGGTGGTTTGCCAGTCCGGTGACGGGTATATTGTGAGTTAGGGTTTTTTCCTCCTACCCTTCTAGTTACAGCTGACGTGACCAGCACACTAGTGAGTGAGCTTGGTTCGACATACGGGGGGGGGGGGGGGGGGGGGGGGAGTCTGATTTCGCGGGTGTTGCTGCTCCGGCATCCGATATGTAAGGTAAGAAGTTTGTAGCCTTTTGATGTACAGTCTCTGACTGTGACTTAGACGGAGATAGCTGTGGCGAAATTTAGACCTCGGCCTGCCTTCTCTCCAGCCGTTTAGACTGGGCTTCTCGCATGTGTCAAAGCATCTTGGTGGGCAACAGGGGGGGGGGGGGGGCAGATGAGGGCGTGACCCCTGCCTCGGATGTGTCTGGTCTAAGCCCAGGTACATTTGTCTGGTGTAATCCGGTACCGGTTTTAGTTTTGGGACCGTCTTGCCGAGCGTGGCCTCAGAGAGGCTCTGTTCTGTGGCTGGCCTTTCTCCTCGGCTTTTTTGCCCGTTGGTGATGGCTAAGCTCTCTTCTCCCGCTTCACTAGCTACTTCTCCAAGGGAGGAGTGGGTAGCTGGATCAGGTCTCACCCTCTGGGGTTTGGGTTTTTTCCCAGGTTGCGGTCCTGTCTGGGACCCTTTCTCGCAGTTGGCTTCGGCATCTGTGTTCGGTTCTCGGTGGAGCTAAGCCCTGTGGCTGACCAGTTCCTGAGGGCTGTTATGCGGGCTTTTCTTGGGAATTATCTCTTGGACACCAGTCCACAGCTAACCCTGTTGGTAAGCAGAGTCAACGTTTTTGAGGCAACGAGCTCCCTGGCGGGTTTCCTGTTTCCTTTCTGTATTTCTGTCCCTTTTCGACGGACATCCTTTTCCTCTCCCGCTGTGTCCCAGCCTCTGTCGGGCTCCTACATCTTCATCCCACAGTGCTCTATCAGTACGCCCAGCCGTTGTTGGGGACAACGCTGAGGCTTCGGGACTTTCCGAGAGAGCCTATCGGTTTGTAGTTCTAAGGTCCTTTATACAACTCCCTCGTCTGATAGCGGATTTACCTTGTACGGTTTTGGTAGGCGCGATTGAGATCTTCTGTTCTCCGTATTTGTTAGGGGTAGAGCCCTTTCCACGTTTCAGGGATACCGCTCGGCCTTCGCCGCCTTTCTTGTCTGGGTTCTGGATGGCTCGGGAGTTTCTAACTCCCATTTCCTATCCGAGTTGCTGTTTTGAGCCTGCCTAACGTTTTAGAGGCATTTTCTAAGCCCCCCTTTGGACCGATGTCTAAAGTTTTTTTCCTGCGTTTGTTGGTCAGAGCTCTGTTCCTCATCATTTTTGGGCAGAGGAGGAGAATTCTCTGTGCCCTGTGTTCTCCCCGGCCTTATCCGGCTAAGAGCCAGTAGGTTTCCTCCGGGCCGGGTGAGGTTTTCCTCAACCCTCTTTTTGACTTCTCCTTGGTCCAGGAGGGCTAAGTCTGGTGCCCGGTGAGGACATTTAATTGGTACTTGGTCAAGACCAAGAATTTTTCGAAGGGCGTCCAGCTCTTCCTCATTACCCAGGGACCTTTCTCCCCTTCATCCAAGGTTCCATTTCCGGGTGGGTTGTCAGAGCCATCCGGGCTGCTGACCTTGCGGCCCTCCCCCGAGGGCAAGGCCTGAGCCCACAATACTGTGAGCATCGGTTCCTCCTGGCCTCTTTTTCGAGGTATTGGTCTAAAGGATCTTTTGGGGGCTTCTTTTTGGCGGTCTCCTATTCCTTTACTTCTTTTATCTCTGGGACGTTCCTTCTTGGGAAGGTACTGTTCGCATCTTCGTCCCTGAGAGCGGCTTTGTCTGCCATTGATCCCCTTTAATCCCCTTCTACTTAGGACATGCCAACCTGGTCTTATCTGTGCTAATCTCGCAAATAATAGGTAGATACATTGATTGATTAGAACTAATTTAATTATCTAAATCTATGTATCTACCTATGTCCCTCCCTCCGTCCCCTCTCAATCCCCGGCAACATGTCTGAAGCGTTGACGTTTTAGTTCTTGATAGCTGCGTAGTTTAGGTAAACTAGCAAATAATAGGTAGATACATAGATTTATATAGTAAATAATAAAATTAGTTCTAATTTTTCTGATCCCTGTGTTAATAGTCTATAGGGATGAGATCATCACCTTGACAGTAGGGAAAAGCATACAACTGAACGTAATTCGTACATACCACATGTCTGATCTCAGCACTGTTACTCTTTGACTGCTCATTGCCTTCTTCCGACTTCACTGAGAGGGTTTCCTCCTGCCCACTCACATGGCAGAAGACTCGAGGCGTCTGACCATTGTTGGGCCAGATACTGCGGATGGGGTCAGGGCCACGCCGCATTACAGATTCTGCCGTCCTCAGTCTATCATCATAGAACGCCAAGGATGGGAATTCACATATCTGTTTGTGCTGTACAAGAGGAGGAAAGAATAAACAGGAACTTCAAGATAAAGTGCCAAGAAGGGAAGTCACAAATATTTCCATAAAATAATAATAATATCAATAATCCTTTTTTTATATAGCACTCAATACACCGATCCAACGATGTGCCTAAGCGCTTTACAGATATATTATTACCCCGTCATTGGATTCTTCAGTGTATATCAATGAATAGAGACATCGGTTCCATCGACATGCAAAACTTTGCATTATATGTTCTTTGAAATAATTGCAGTATATTGCTATTCAAACAGTGGGAAGAGAGACTTATCTATTATTGAATATCAATACAACTATAACACTGAGTTTCCTCAAGCTAGGATCTAGCCCTCCAAACACAATTAAAATAATAAAATAATAATAATAAATCTGGATTTATATGGCGCGTAATACAAAATATCATCTCCAGACACCTTAGAGAAAAGGCAAACTTCCTGCATTCTTGACACAGAATTTACAGCACTGCACAAATCATCAATACCATCATGATCATCACCATCATCATCATATACCACCATCGTGCATCATCATCACTTCCACCATCATCATGATGATCCTCACCAACATCATCATCGTCACCATCATCAGGATCATCATTCATCATCATCATCATCATCATCATCATCTCCATCCTCCTCCTGTTGTTTTTTTAATTTCACACTCACCATTCTGTACTGGATGGTAAGCATCTCGGCTTTGTCCTTGTATTTTTCTAGCAGTGAAATATCTATTCCAAGCTGCCTAGCATTGGGCTCTGTGATTATTGACCTGTCAGTATCAAACATGCATTAGGCAATACAGTTCAGTGACTGAGAACAAAATTTGCTCAACTGCATTTCATTGTCTATCAACACAAACATATATATCTTTATTAAAGAAAGAAAATTGATGTCAAAATCTAAAACAGAGCCCTCCAATTTCTGTCGCTCACCAACAGTGACCTAAGTAAATAAAGGGATCTTTTGAGCATTTTTTCCCTTCTCTTTATGTTTGCGGTTCCATGCTTTTATCCTATACATTCATAATAATACTGTTGATAAAAATAAAATTAAAATGTCGTTAATTCAGTACATTGATATTTCAAAAGGGTGTTGCATGTTCATGTACATCTCTTCAAGCAAAAACATTCAGGCTCGAAATTCAGACCTCCATTAATTAGGTACAAACAGTATTTTCAGTCTGAAGTTCTGAACTTCTCAACGTCTATTGCCAAACTAGTTTATTTGTATCAACTTTGCATTTGAAGTATAATGTTAAAGTGAGTGTGCAAGTTTAAATACACAATAACACTGATATATTAAAGGGTAAAGGTGGTTTGTGATTAGATTTCTAAATATACTTGAATAAGATTTGGTGTACACAAATTCACTCAGAGTTACCCAAAATCTGAAATAATAGATTTCTTGAAATATAATTTGTGGACAAATTGTTCTTGCTCTTCTTACTCCCTCTTGCTATATATCCACATACTAATGGTCATTTGAGCTTTCACCCTCCCTTCTTGAAAAAACAAGGGTTTGTCACTCTACCTGAGTTGTTGATGATCTCCGACCAGTACCACTTGTTTGGGTTTGACTGAAACCAGAGGGATCAAAGTTTCTGGCTCGCTGCACATCCCAGCCTCATCAACAATCACCTGGATAATACGGGTGAATCTTGACATGCGAGGCGCTCCAGCGGCATTACAGGTACACAGGACTATGTGATGGTTCTTCAGTTCTTGTTTCTGCAGTGAGGGAAGCAAAGTATATATCTCAAAGTACCAATATTAAACCTTTTACAAAATAAAGGCATTCCATGGGCTTATGGTTAAAGAGCATGATTCTATTCTATTCACATGTCAATTTCACCTTAGTTATATCTAAACTTGCAATATCCCTTTTATAAAAGTCATATTTGAATCAATCTTCGATCAAAAGATATTTGATATAGCGCCTTTCCCTTGCAATTAAAAAAACCACTGCACACACCCCTCCACAATGTGTGGGCCACTTATAAACAAAAGTAAGTCACTCCTCAGAGATCAATACATGTATATGAAGGCTGGTAATAAAGTCATTTTTAGCAGAATAGATGCGACTTTAGTAATTTCTTGAAGTGGTCAGCAGATGAGGCCATCTGCAGTAGGCACCTGGTTCCACAGCTTAAAAATTTGAACATATGTGCAGTATAATGACAAGGAACCACTAGCATGCAAAGTTAATACTTTTCGCCGATTGGAATCCATTCAGATTATGCATTGCATAGCTGCCGACCTAAAAAAAGAAACATTTGTATTAAATAAATTACATAACTTACCTGATCTAATATCTTTTGGGTCTATCTAGTGTTTACATGTATCACTCCCATCTCCCCAGGGGCGGATCCACGTAGCTATTTTTCCAGGCCGCCCCCCCCCCCCCCAGCCCCCCAAAACGGTAAAAAATAGGATAATAACATAAATTTAACCTATTTTTTAAAACAAAAGCAAAAGCGGGCCCCCCTGACACAACTTGATGAATCGCTGCTAAAAAAATTCTCTTGCCCCCCCCTCCTGCCGCCAGCTGGATCCGCCCCTGCATCTCCCTTCCAGTCATTCACCTTCCCCCACTTCCATGATCTTAAACATTATCCCTAGACAGTACCCCATTATTCCTAGACTCTGACCCCATTATCTTGTTATTATAAAAAATGACCATAAATGACCACCCCAGAGAGTTAACTTCAAGGAACCACATTCTAATAACTATGTCTCATAGGCCCAACTCAAGTCACCTACACTCTCCATTACCACTCCCTCTAATACCATAGCAACCCTGATAGACAGTTGATCAGCTGTAGACGAAAGACTTCACGCATGGCTGATTGTCACCGAAACAGAGTTAACTCTATTGTTAATTCTGTTTGTTGCTACGGCAGGCAGCCAGTGAAAACGAATTTGTTTAAAAAAATTATGGAAATGCAAGCACAAACAGAACTTTGTTATTCCTAGCTCATTTTTCCTGTCTGAGGTGTCATATGAAAGGGCAGAAACTCAACTTTCTAGAAATGTGATTTTCTCTTTGAAATTCAGATACCGTCCGCCAAATTACATTTTGGTTTCCTCTCTTCAAATTCATTTTAATCACTCATGCGTGAAATGTGCATTATATGAGTTGCATTAAATGAAAAAAGAGGATCTAAGCTTTACAAATATGTGTCATTTATCAATTATAATTGTGATTAAGTTATGATAAAACAATTAATAATTGTCTGTTTCGTTTTTTCTGGGACACACTGTATAGAGGGCGCAAATAGCTATAAGTAGTGCAGTGTTCCTCAACTATGAAAGGGAGTCAAGTTTTGATCACCATTAGATCAAGACCCTCTTTCTAGCTGGCTCTCTCTTCATCTGGTGTTTTAAATATGTTGAAGTTCATAATGATGTTACTGATTTGACTCTCCAAAGTTTGGAGATAATAAATACTTTCATATGACTCCGGAATTACAAGCCTCTTCTTGCTGCTTTATTTTATGTACCTCTCCTACTGCCAATATCTCATAAACCGATCCCAACACAACACTAAAACACCCATGTCCATTATACAACTTTGTGCGATTAGTCTTTCTCTTTCTCTTCAAAAATAAACACTCACCGTGGCCTCAAAAATAGTGCTTTTGTAGTCTTTGATGTCCCTAGAAAGTATTCCAGCTGGGTTAGTGCGGAATCTCCTCTCGTATGCAGCTAACTCTTCTGCATGCGGCTTCCCACGCATTCTGATCAAGCGATGAAGCGCAATGTCTGATAGCCCCTCTGACATAGAGGCTTCTTTCCTGGACCACTTAGATATAAGTCCTGGAACGCCAGGGATGGGGTACTCCTTACGCTCAATTTGCTCACTGTAGACTCGCACAATGGAGATGTTTTGGAACTTCTTGAGATAAGCTAGGGCAAATGAAACAATGGAATAAACAGGATTACAAGAGCAGTAGGGACTTACATTTGGAACTCTGATGAAATGGAAGTTCTTCCTTGCCGTACAATGTGAAATGTGTGTGAAATAATGCTAGAATCATTAGTGTTGAGAGCCGTAAGGTAGCTGGTACTACAAAACCAGCTATCTCTGAGAGAATCAAATTATATTAAGCTTGGTCCTCTCACCCTCCTGGCAGCAACTTTCCCAGGAAGCCCTGGGTTCAGTTGAACCGCCTCAGTTCGGCACAGGCCGGCGGCTTTGCAGCAAGCATGAAACTCTGGGGTATCAAAGACTTGACCTGTGTCCATGTGGTCATGCAAATTCAGACAGTTGATCATGTTCTGAATGAGTGTGCTGTAGCAGGATCATAATGTCCCCCTCCCTCATATTGACAACCTACAACTGGTGTCATATGTAAACAACCGTCATTTTTTAATAACTATGGGTAATAAATGAAATAATAATTACAATTAGTGAACAAAAAAACTCATAACGTGACAGAGCTTTGTAAGCTGTCAATATGCAAGGAAATAATATTGGACAAATACAGAACCATGTGGAACACCAACAGGATTTAGTTCTGATGTATGTGACAGAAGTTATTTTTACAGAAGATTAAGGACACTATACTTCTATTAGGGGAAGATGAAAGCACGATTAAGTTAGTTTGGCAAAGCAGGATTAAATTGTCTAGGCAAAAAATACATTTATTGTTCATCATCAAATTGCATGAAATAGAATTTAGCACTTTTATTTGACTAAAATTGGTACTAAATATGTAAAATAACTAACCAGCTACAACATCCACCGATTTGTTTGAGGGTCCACAGTACAGCACCTGTGGAGGCATTTTTCCAGCTCGTAGTTGCTGATTGAGACGAGTGAAGAAGTATGCAAGGTAAGCTCCTGTTACAGTCTTTCCAGTGCCTTGAGGGAAAAGGGAATGTTTATATTAACAATATTATAAATATTATATTCAATATATAATCGTTTACGCGTCAATTTTTTCTAAAAAGATGCCCGCATGCCCCCCTACTGGTCAATAGTTTTTTTTTAAAACCGTTATGACCGTTGCTCCGAGTAACAGGCCGCATAAATAAATTTTGCTGAGATCCCCATTGGTTTACGTGTAAAAAGTTTCTTTGTTTCTTTGAGCGCGGATACCAAACAGTACTTTTTGTCTGCGATTCCTGAATAATCGAAAGATTTAGGCAACTTTTCAGCCAAGATTTACAGACAGTGTCTTAGCATCTATATCATCTTCGACTTCATAGGTGAAGGGATAATGATAATGATAATAATAATAATACTAATAAAAATAATAAAAATAATGGCCAACTGTTTAGCGCTTATATACATTATTAACCTGACTGCTTATAGCTGAGCCAACAAAGTGACTAAGTGCTCATACTAGGTACCCATTTACACCTTGGTGAAGAGTGGCAAATGTAGTAGATAAAAGACCCTATCCAAGAAGATACAACTTTATACCAATGGAAAGCTGAATGAACATAAAATACAAATATAAAGGAATAAAAAAAAATATTCCTTTCAGTATTGGACAAAAGCAAATCAAAACCTCCTTTCCGCACCTTCCAAATTAGAGGACAATATTTGTCATATTTGCAGCAGTTACGGGACGCAATTGAAAGTGGACCCGAATGGCTAACCTACATGTATGTAGCTGAGGCAATGAGCTGTGCTTAATAAATGCAAAGGCATAGGGAATATGCTCATATAAGATGATGTCATCTAGTCTATAGCTCGTTTTTAGGTGGACAACTTCTGATTTTAAAGGCTTTAAATTTTGAGTTTTCAGAGAGCTGTTACTCCTTTAACAGACACTAAATAACATAGTATTGATATTATTGTATTCTATGGCTTATAATCTTACCGCTGATATGAAATTCAGACAGGGCCATTAACATCTGGCCAAATGAAGTTTGGACTAGGCTGGGATTTGTACCCTGTGATCTACAGTCCAGTGACTTATCTACTGGACCACAACACCTCTACTATTTCATGTAGATCAAGACAAGGATGGAAGTCATAATATGAGTATGGATATATACTTCTCTAAGAGTAGCCTACCCAGTGTTGAGCGGTGCCCATTTAGTTGCACAATTGAATATAGAAAAAGAAACGGCCTAAAATAGAAACTAAGCTTCTGTCCATTTTCGATATTCAAATTTGTAAAAGACAAAATTACCATTCATTTTTTCCTTCTAAATGAATGGGGAAGGGAGTTGCTTGGGGTGTAAAAACATTGTGAGAACATCAACATTCTTACATATTTAAACAAAAGATATTCAGAAAGCAATCTGTTTGGCAGTCATATTGAAGATATGTAAGGGATTAAAGTATTCTTACCAGGGGGGCCTTGAATGACAGAGAAAGTATCTTTGAGAGCTTTCTTCACAGCAGCTTGCTGGGAACCGTTCAACGGATGCAGTGTTGACTCTGGTACACTCAGGTCTGTGCCCCCTAACACTTTGGCTTCCCTGCAGAGGATTCTAAGGGTATCATCTTCACCAATGAAATGGAAGGAAATAGGTTTCTATAAGTTAAACATTCCAAATGACTGGGTTTGTAAGATGGTGGTGTTCTCCATAATTGAGATATTGAAATTGCAAGCTCTCTCTCTGTCTTTGATTCAACTCCCATTTTAAGTCTGATTTTTAAGTGCTTGTATCTATTGTGAACTGTCAACTGTTAACTATCTTTATAAATGTACCTAGGTTACTGTTATATTCCTTTTATCAATATTTGTATGCTTGTATCCTGTGCTAAACATTTATCACTGTTTTATTTTATGTTTGAGTGGAGATAACTTCATCCTTTGTCTAATGTCAACATATTGAAAAGCCTGAAAAGCATCCAAAATTTATTTATATAGTAAGGTCAAATATTATTATTCAAGGGCCTTCAAATGAATCCAGAGAAAGAAAATTAGAAAAATAAGACAAATGTGCCTACGTCTTCAAAATGCATCTGCCTTAATTCAGTTGAGATCCTGGATTAAATTATTTGTGGAATATCAGTGACAATGAGAACAAAAAGCCTTTGCTTTTATGCCAATTGATCTTTATGACCTTTGACCTTTAATTTGAGCACTTGTCCCCCTACAGCGATGTACACTATAGTTACAGATTTTAAGTTCAGTGCTAAAATAGCTTAAAATAGTCATTGATTTGGTCATTACAAGGTTAAAAAGACCTTAAATTTCATGTATATTGACTTGCTGACATTTTTACATTTAACTTTCTTTTACACAAAATCTGATCAACTTATCTCACTGTGTGATGCACGCTAATTGGTATTACCATCACCATAGTTAATGGATCAGATCATACTTGATAAACGTACACTGCGATAACAAGGCTTAAAACCCTGAGATTTCACGGAAATTTACTGTTATGACTTCTTTTTGTTTACCCCCAAAAATTCAGCCCGGCATCCTATGGTAAAACATACTCACACCAAGTTTGAATTTTAAACTCAAGTGGACCTTGTCATATCCCGCGATAATGAGACTATACCTTTATTTTCATAAATTGACGCTATGGCCTTTGAAATGCTTATCGCATAATGTAATCAGAACATCTACCTTCGATATGACATACTATCACCATTGAAACTTATACATGTACCTTCAGTGGTACTTGAGATATCGTGATAACTAAGCCAAAATCTGCAACTTCATGACATTTGATCCTTGACCTTCGACCTACTTACCCCAAAATCTAATAATATCATCTTCCTATGGTGATACACAGTATTTCTAGGTTTTAATCCCATACCTGTAATGGGTCTTTAGATACCTGTAATATCAGAAAGTGACCTCTATGACCTTTGACCTACTAACCCCAAAATCTAATCAGATCATCTTCCTATGGTGAAACACACTATCACCATGTTTGAAGTTCATACCTCAAGTAGTTCTTGAGATATCGCATTAACAAAAAAAATTATTATTGAATTATTATCATCACCAATAATATCAAATTATCATCATCATCGTTTTACTATTATCATTATTATTGTTTTTATTATTATCATCAAACACGTAACTCACTTTAAAGTAGGTCACGTAAATCACAGAAAACGAATAGAAGATGGACAATAAAATTCTTGCTGGTATTGACAGAAGTCAACTGACTAAATCAAATTTTGCATTATGATATTTTACCACGACTCCCTCCAATTTACCTGAGTGCCAATCAGGATGATTCGGACGTTGCAAGGCGATGTCTTGTACCAACACTGGCACCCCTTTTGAGTCCACATCACCTACAGCCACTTCTTCTCGTCTGCAGGAAAATGAAATACACATGAGTCATTAAAGGCCAATTATGATGTTAGGGTATTAAGCTGCATTTAGAAAGTAACAGGAATAATTATACTAGTTTTTAATTGCTTGCTAGTAGCATGCACTATAAACCATTAAGTTGTCTGCCAAGTAAAAATGTAAATAAACTAATGAAAATTTAATGGACAACCTATTCACTGAAAGGCACAACAATCATATGGAACCTTGGTTCAGTGCTCAGTACAGGGAAGGAAGGATTTGTCGAGTTTTCTTGTCTATTCATTTTTACTCAAATCGTTTCACCTGTATTTTTTCATTTACTTTAATTTCTCATCATAATCTGCCATGTCTATCTGAAACACCTGAGGACATCTGAGCCTTGTAATATTGTCCATTCTCAACCCTACAATTCAACAACATCAAATGTAAATCACAAATATCATTATCCATTACCTGATCCTCTTTCAAAGAAAAATTATTCAACCATTGATTGCCCATCGGTTGTTAGAGAGGAACAGTACCAATATTTATAAGGGATAATGCAACTAATGGATGTTTCTTATGTTTATGTTTTAGGTAGTAGGTGCAATTAAAGGCTCGTTCAGATATGAAGCAGTAAACTGCAGAGTTATTTTAACAACCTGCAAATAAATGCCAATTGCGCACACCAAATATCTTACAGATATTCGCTCAGCTCTGTGTAACAAGAAACAATAACGTAGTTTACCGCATCATATCTGAATAAATCTAAAAATGGCCTAAATCTGTTTATATTGATCATTGAGTAAAACCAACCTATTTGGCTCAGGTTTCGAAATGAGCTCCAAAGTACTTGCAAGACGATCATTACTCCCTTCTGGAAGTGGCACGGACTGCTGATGCACTACAAAGTGGACTGGAAGTGAATTTGAATTTTCACGAAGGAGCCGTTTGCATGTGTGACAATCCTGAACATTCTCGCCTTTCAATATCCTGCAGTGGAGAACACACGTTTGCTTCTCCCAGTCATTAGCATTGAATGGACCTACACGATGTCTACGTTCTCGTTTATCATACCCCATGATATTAAGCCGAGGCTTAGTTTCCACATCAAGATTGGCCAGGTGTATGCACAGGTAATCATAATTGTTCATGATCATTCCTTCTCCGAATTTCCTGATCGGTATGTGGTTCACTTCAAGGAAATTCTTGTCTAACTGAAAGTGACCTGTGACCTCACTTGAAGTTCTCTGCCATGTGATTGGCACATTCTGTAGAATGATGGTGTCATCATTGCTGACTGCACTGTGGCATGAGACCATAGACAGGATCTGAAGCCATTTTGACTTGTATGCTGTGATGTTCTTCTCCCTGCCTGGAATTTCAGAGGCTATCCTTGAGAAGCACTCAATCGGTTGTGATCGATGCTCTGCACAAATATCCAAGTGAGGGGTCATGTTGAAGAGTTGTACCTTTGGAGTAAGCATACCCTTCATCATCTGTGCATGCATCTGGACCCTGCAGGGATCACCCAACTGGTAGCTTCGTTGGAAACGCATAACTCCCATTTCCCTCTGTTCTGGCCTGCCACCCTGATTTCCTCTCCTCTTTGAGAAGGGGTTCTCACTACCTTGGGCATGGATCAGTGCTGTCTCAATGGCAGTCCGAACTTCCTTTAAGTTTCCATCCCTATACATACTCTTGATCGATTGCAGGATCTGTTGCCATTTGTCTTCTGGAATTCTGAAATAAACGACTGGATATGTGACTCTAGCTGGTGATTCTGCTTGGCATTTTCTGCTGTAGTCATACATGCGACACTTCCATGTCACTTGGACATCTGTGGATCCTACATTTACAACTGGTTTCTCAGACGGCTTCAGAATACTAAAAGGAATTTGTCGCTGTCTAGATTGAATGTATCCACGATATGGGAGAAGCAATTTCATGGATGACTCAGAGATCCCTTCCACAAAAGTTGTAACCTGAAGAGGAGCTTCCTTGAGCTTCAGAGCCAACTTCAGCTCTGTTGTGGCTTTGCTGAAGCGCTTACTTTTGGCATTTTGATTGTTGCAATGATGGGTGATGTTAGCCATCTCCCCAGCAGTGTAAGGGCAATGGCTATTCTCTATGCAAGCAACAAGCATCCTATGCACAACAAGGTCAATGTAACGTCTGATGGGTGATGTGAAGTGAGTATATGCTCTCATCTGCAGAGAATAGTGTTTTCGCTTCTCTGGCTTGGTTTGGCTTGTTGAGTCAATGTATTCTGCCGATTCCATGATGCCATAGCAGTGAGACTGAGCCAACGCATGAAGTGGATGGTTTTCATCTTGAAGTATGAGATTGGCCATATCCTCCATATGACTTCTGGATGCATTTTGTAATTCACAGGATTCTCTGACCTTCTGCCATACTTCTGCAGCAACTAGGACATGTTCTCCATCTTGGCCTTCTTCTTGGTCTCCACGCGCTGCATCATTGTGATTACGATTCACAAGCTCAGGAAGACGAATGCTATTTCTTGCAGTCTTCTCATGACATTCTTTCCATGTCTCTACCTTCTCTTGCGATGGGGCCAGTTGCCTACGAAGTGGTGTACACTCAGGAAACCAGGTAAGAACATGTTCAGCAACAGCATTATTGGTCATCAGCATCAGCTCTTCGATTAAGCTGTGGGCATGTGGATGTGAAAGTGCCCCTCCATCATCGTCATCGGCATTATACACCATCCATCCATCTCTCAATCGCTGCATTCGGCGATGTCTTGACAGCTCATATAAGCACCTGACAGGTTCTGCAACACGCATGTATGCCTTAGAAGTATTGTTGATGTCAACAATCAACTTCTCTGCCTCTTCATAGGTAAGTCTCTTACATGATTGAATCACAGACCTTCTAAACATAGGCTCTGCAACTATCTGCCCTTCATGATCCAGAATGAAAATGACTGACAATGCTAGCCTATCCTGTCTCGGGAGTAAGCTTAGAAGCTTTGAGATCACATCTTTTGGCAGCATATGATAAGCATCACCTTGAAATGGATGGTAGAATGTTGTACCCCTCTTGTAGGCATCATTATCCATGTAACTGTCCTGGTGAATGAAGTAGGACACATCTGCAATATGTACACCAACTTCATAGCGCTGTCCAGGCAGACAGACACAGCTGATGGCATCATCCAAGTCTGTAGACCCAGGAGGATCCACAGTGAAGATGGTCTTTGTAGTCCGGAAATCTTCTCTTTTCTGAACAGCTTCTTCTGGAAGACTCCATCCTTCAGGGAACTCTCGCTGCATTTGTTCTCTTGCAGCTGGCTTGCATTGAGCTTTGATGCCATATACAAGTCGAAGGATGTTAAGCCCCTTTTCTTCTGTATTTCCAGGATCCAACTCTTCAACAGCTGCTCCCAGTGGATATGGGGCCTTTTGGGGCCATTTGAGATAGCGAACAACAAAGAGTTTCTGATATCTTTCCGCATATTTAACCTCTACATCTCTTCTAGAGCTGCATTTATTTTGTGTATCTGCCCTTCTTTTCTTTATTTCAAACAGTGTAACCACAGCTGTATTATTCTTTGAAGCACTTCTTTTTTTTCTTCCCAGGATAAGCATCTTAGGAGATGAACGGTCAAGAGGCACCATCACATTATCCTTCTGAGGATCCAAGTAGCACACCAACTTTTGTAACCGGAGATTGGAATTGTGTTCAATGATGCCTACTACCTTTCCATGGATCTTTATTTCTCTTTCGGCATCAACATCTTCTACTTCTTGTTCATCCTCATTTTCCAAGACCTCTACAAGAACCTTATCACTGTTGAGGGCATGTCCGCGGCGCCTCATAGTCGTGATGGCTATTACATCTCCTGACTGTCTTTCTTGAGGGACAGCATATGTTCGTCCAGTGATGTCTTGGCGGAAGATACAGATCTTGTACATGTCAGGCCTTTGAAGAGCCTTGCGAAGAAGTTCTTCAACATTAGTATCTTGTGCCTGACCAGAGGTATCCACATTTACACCATCTTCATCATCTGAATCATATGTATCATCTTGTAAGAGGGCATAACGATCTTCTCTCTCCACCATGCGTAGGTTCCGAAACACATGTTCATTAGTACGGCTTGCTACGTTTGGTACTGTAGCTCTTGATGCATATGGAATGGGTTGCTCTCTTTGTGCTGTCTGTAATCTTACTCCAGCTTCTGGCTCCTGTATAGGTATGGCTGGTTTGCTCTGTTCCCTTTCAATGGAAGCATCTCCGCCATCAGATTCTTGTCTTGATGCAGCCTCTTCCTCTTGATCTTCAGCCAACACCTCTGGATGCAGCATCCCATACTCCTCAGCCATGTCCTCGTCCACCTGAATCTTCAATTCCTGAAGCCATTCATCACCAAGCAAGTCGTCATCCTCCTCCTCATCATCATCAACTGCAGATGCAGAAGCACCAGCATCAGGGGCAAGGTATTTCCTGGCACTCTGTTGCTTTTCAGTCCTCGGATAGCAACTTGGCACTTCAATTGCTCTACTGACTGCAGGTCTTGCAGTTACCGTGTGAGGGGTCCCCCTGGAGCCTGTGCTGTGAGCTGAAGCTCTTGGAATGAATGACTTTGAAGTAGGGTTGAGCAGACGTTTGGCATTTGCAATCTCATTCTGGATAGAAGCCATTGTTAGACCATGTTTGCTATGGATGGCACCATTCCTCTCACATGTCTTGATGTACCTCTGCCATGTCTTCTGGCATTCCCCTGCTGAACAGACTGCCACAGGATCTCCCATTACAGTTATGAGAGACTGTGCACGGGTGAATGCTGTGTTCAGAAGTCCTTTGTCTGAAAGGAACCCATACCAGAACTTGTTTCTCACATTTCGGTCTCCTACTTGGGGAAGGGATGTGATGTCTACCTTATTTAGCGACGATCTCGTTCTCACCGTGCTCAGAAAGACAGCACGATACTGCTTCCCTGTACAAAGTGGATTAAACATGAAAATATATTTTGTGACTAAATATATCTTATCAAATAAACACTTCCACACTTCTGAAGCAAGACAAATATTTCTGAACTACATTTTAGCTTCTTATTCATTAGATTCAACTAATTAGAACATTTCCTTATCAAAATTGACATTGGAATCAAAATTGTTTACAGTTTATACTTTGACACCAATTTACAACATAGTGGTGCAGAGTGTTCCATGACTTGGGGGTGTTTCACAAAGACTAAGAACAACTTTGAGTTGACTTAACTATGGCAGGCTGTTCATGCCACTGTTATCTCTTATTATATACCTCATTCTAGAAATCCAGCCATCTGATTGGTTGAAATTTGAGTCGTGATTCAGGTATGAATTTTTGACAGATTTTTGAATTCGGCATATAAAAGACATATCGACTGCTTTAATATTCAAGGTCTGGCTGCTTAATATGGTCTTTGGTGGCAAGTGTAAATAGACCTCGTGAGGAAGAAATGTGTGGGCCTAAGGCAACATGACATGGCTAGCAAAACATGATATTGAGTGAATTAGTAACTCCACAAGTATCATTATTTCTGTTAGATATTATGGATATCTATAATATTGTTTGTCAAAGCAAACTATTGTTTTATAGTAATTTGGTTACGTTAAAGTCTCTTAAAGTCTAGTTTGGGTAATTTTAGTTGGTTTAAAGCTTATTGATCCTATTACTTGGACTTTCGTCTGCATGTAAAACTTCACTTCATACCCTAGCTTAGCTGTGATATATGCATTTTTTGTATGGATAGTTTTACAATTACTGCTTATTACATTGTAATTCGAATAGTCTGATCGGCATTTTGGTCTCATGTGTGGTAGACTCTATCGTAGCTTGCCCATTCACCGGTGAGTCATATTTTGACTTCCGTTTCTGAACATGCTTGGTACCGCGAAGCTTGAATCCTTCTTTGCACCTTAAATTTCAGAGCCCCAAAAAGACCTACTGTTATTTGAAATGATATCCATTTATTTCTACATCCATATATATCAAATTCAATTTAGATTCAATTTGTAAATTTGTATGTACTGCAATCAGGGTGAAATTTAATTTTGAAATACCCCAAAATAACAATTTTCAAACCAGAGTTTAGCGTGACGGTCGGAAACCCAAGCAGGGAACCGTTTTGACCGAGGCCTACTATCCTGTCAAACACCTTTACGTATCATACTTTAGCTCTACTAGTTCAGCAAAGTATCTTGAGAAAATTACCTTGCACATTCTGCACCGTCTCAACCGTCACAGCATGAAGGCCTCTATTCCTCATCTCCTGTCGGATTACCTGGACCTATCATAAATGCATACAATTTGCCTTTAAAACCAAATTTTAAAAAATTCAAGAAATTAATCAGGCTAATTTGTGAATATTTACTGGTACAAGCGTACAATGTTCATATTAATATACTGGTCAAATCCCTACCCCCCCCCCCCCCAAAAAAAAAAAAAAAAAAAAAAAAAAAAAATAAATAAATAAGTAAATAAAATATATAGAAACCTTGCGCAACCTTGTGATGGAAGAAGAAAAAGAAGGGGAAACAAATTATCATACTGAAATTTTAAAATGGCTGTAATCACTTAGCATTTTAAACTTCAAATCTACTGGTGGGACTTTTAATGCTAAGAAGGCAACACTGATTATCGTTTGGGGGGTTCTTTTGCCTTTGTATTTAAAGAAAGTAGGATGAAAATCAACACAGGATATTTGGTATGCCTTAATAATAAAATTATTTTGGATCAATTTAACAATAGATACTTTCACAATCTCTCAACATGCTTTACAGATACATAACATTATAACCAATCCCCTTCAAAGCAAAAACCGGTTATCAAATTTTCTTCAACGTCAAATCAATTACCGGTAAGTTTATTTTTGAGCACTGATTCTTTCAAAAAGGACACTTATCAAAACTCTGTCTATAGGTGATAGAAGCACAGCAATATTGTAAAATAAATGTAAAACTATGAAACACCTTTTTTTAAACTGCTTTCAAATCAATTTCCATGTACATGTCCATTGCCTCTTGACCCATTTTCCTTAAATGTCATATCAATGGAGTAAATTTCATGCTTTTAATACTTATGAATAAAAAAGACACTAACCTGAACTCTGTAAGGTGATAGTACCACAACGTCACTCTGTTTGGGTCTATCCCACTCTTCAGGCCAGTGCTTCATCAATGAAGCGACATATTCTGCAATTATCCTTGCTTCCTCTGCATTCATGTACGATGTCCCAACAAGCTGATCCTCCCCCCTCACGTCCACAAAGTTTAGTGGAAAGAGATTAGGGTGTTCACTGCTGGTGCTCTTTGATATGAAGGCTGTGCCATAGTGCACCTTCAAAAAGTCTAGGATGGGTTGGCAGCTCCTGTAGTTGATGGTGAGGTTGCAGCTGGCGTGGCAGTCATTCTGTTTGTCATATTTGAACAGGCGTTGCAGCAGGGACATGTTGAACTTGGCCTCCATTGTGCGAGGAGAGTGCACCTGCAATTTTGGAAGAAACCACCATCGTTGATCGATGCTCATGTTTTGATTCTAGGTTCTATACAATAAATGAATCATCAAATGACCTATGCTTTGAGTTCACAAATCCCTCCAAGTAAATTGAGCCATCTATTTATTCATTTTGTTTTTTTGTAAAATGCAATAACTTTCAACGAGCATGTAAAATACTACGTATATGTGTGTGATTCCAGTGCAATTCATGTGACATTTGAAAAGAAAACTGAACTTAATCAGAGTCATGAAGAGGGTAAAGGAACTCTGGGTGCAGGCTGAAAAATGGGAGACAACTTTGATGAAAATGACATATCCCCTCCCTAAAGCTATCAACTGGAAAGAATGAAAGTTCTGATTTAATAATATTTCATATGTAAACTAGATGGAACTTCAACTGTGCACAGTGGAAAATGATGCCTCTGCCATAGAGCGATTTCACAAACCAAAACAGGAGCAATTTCCAAATTCAAGTTTAGTTGTAATCCATTAACAGGTTCTCAGAATATTGTGATTACAAGCTATTTTTCATATACATGTATGACCCTTTAATGTTTGACCTCATGACCTTAAAATCTAATCAGTTCATCGGCTTTGCATGATACATACATGTCTTGAGTTTGATAGTAATTCGTCCATCAGTTCTAATAATAATGTGATCACTAGCTATTTTTGCATATATAATGAGCCCCATGACCTTTGACCTTTAACCCCCAAATCTACTCAGTACATAGGCTCAGAAAGATACATACGTGTCCTGCGTTTGATGTTCATCTGTCCATCGGTTCTAATGATGTGATCACTAGTTATTTATGCATTGAGCCCTGTGACCATTGACCTCATGACCCCAAAATCAAATCAATTCATTGGCTCAGCAAGATACATACATGACCTAAGTTTGCCAGGAATCCATCAACCAGTTCTTGGGATAACTCGATCACGAGCTATTTTTGCATACCTAAGGAGCACTGTGACCTTTGACCTTTGACCTTGTGACCCCAAAATCTAATCGATTCATTGGCACTGCAAGATACATACATCACCTAAGTTTGGCAGGAACCATCAATCGGTTCTTGAGATAACGAGATCATGAGAACGGGACATACGGACAACCCGATAACATAATGCCTCCGGCTTCTTCGTAATGGAGGCATAAAAAATGATATTGGGTCCAAATTTAATCACTCTAAAACACTATTACATCCTGATGTGATTAACTGGGTCAGCACGCCGTAGCGTTCGCGAAACAGACCGAAGTTTGCCTCACGCTTTGGTTTTGCGTATGTTGCACGCAAATGAATAAGTAGGCTTACTACGGACGATGCGACCGAATTAAGCTTACGTATTCATTTGCGTGCAACATACGCAAAACCGAAGTGTAGTCGTATTACACCTGATTTTCCCTGAGTGAGTCTCAGGAAAGACGCATAGTCTCGTCATGCTACAGCCCCTTTATCATTCCCAGCCTAGTTCCCGCATATTAGACTTTTACTTTACCTTTGGGCTCATTTGTTTGGGATCTCCAGCCAGCACAACACTTGTATCCTCTGTTGCTAAGGCAAGGGGAATGATGGCCTCTGTCTCTAGGGCTTGTCCGGCTTCGTCTATCACAATGTGGGAGAAGTATCCACGCAGTGTTGCTGTTTTGGTAAGGTGCACAGCTGTATTCAGAGTGACTACAACTATACTGGGGCCCTTTCTGGAGACCCAGTCTGAAAACAGATTAATAGGTCAAGAATTTAAAGTATGAATCTAGTGGGTAACAACTATCCTTATGGGAATAAAATTAGATCATATATCAAAGATAAGCAATTTGGTTCTTTGGAATACTAGATGATACAAGGATATCTATTAAAATGAATATGAATGGCAGTTACAATTAAGTAGCATTAATACAACCTTTCAAAGGATGATAATATTTATTATAACCCCCTGATAAGATGTTCAAGCATTCAAGGAATTACTTCACACCGGGTACCCATTATTTAATTTCACCTGGGCATAGAGTGGCAAATGTACTAGGTTACTGTCTTCCCAAAGAGTGTTAGTGTTATGGCAGGGATTCAAACCCAATCTGTACATTAAGACCAATATCATCCAATACTCCTGGCTACTACAGACTCATACAAAATGGAGGTCTTGACTCTACCTTGACATTCCTCTTCGGTTGGCAAACGAGGTCCTGCAGCATCGATAAGCATGTATTGCTTCACCGGATCTCTAACCGTGCTTAGTTTCCGCATCGTTGCGTACACACGCACCATCCAAGTATCAGGACTATCTTCACAGAATCTATGAAGATAATCTCGGATGTATAGATCAGCAGCACTGTAAACAGGAAATAAAGGATAGGAACAAATACATTTCACTGCAATAGCCAGCTAGGAAGCATTTCCAAAATGATTAATAACTAGAAATTTAATTTGTCACGGGACGAATTAGGTTGTCTGTCTTCACTTCTTATGATAGATTTGAGAATGGGAGAACTTATATAGACATGTTAACAATGATGATCATGATGATGATGTTCATGACATCTGATTGAAAAAAATGAGGGGACATTTCGATAGCATATAGTCTCAGCTACAACATACTCAAAAATCAACAAAAACCCAGCAGAAACTATATAGAGAAAGGTAGAAGTTATATAGACATGTAAACAATGATGATCATGATGATATTGCTCGCGAAAGACTGAAATGTAGAATCCAGTTTTGAAAAAAGTCACGTCCCGTAGAGAATACACACAAAATGTGAAAAATAGATATGCCTCCTTTAATCGCAGAAATACACCATGATGCATTTGTCAAAATGAAAAACTGTGGCAGCTGCATTCATAAAAAATGGTCTCAGCTAGAACATATCAAAATTTTGAAGAAAATCTATCAATATTTACAGAGATACAATCAATTTTCCAAAAATATGCTGACGTCATTATATGCAAATTGAAATTTTGAGTTCAGAGGCCATTATGATGACGTCAGGAGTTAATTAGAGGTTAAATGAGACGTGATATCATATCTCCGATTCATACTCTATCAAAATATGAAGAAAAAATTTGAGTCACCTTGCATCCTAAAGAGCTACAACGGATTTTGTATAGGTATGTTTTTGCCCATAGGCCTATATGCTATGTATTACAAGAGCTCACACGCAAGTACATGTATCTTAAACGGAGGCTCATTCCGTTATTAATGTTCACAAAAAGATGAACAAGATATCAAAATGCTTGAAAAAATGTGACAAATATGATGACAGAGAAAATTTGGCGATTCTATGTTGCAAAATATCAGTACGCGCGAAAACGCGCACGCATGCGCGTGAGCGCAATTTTTGCAAAATGTTTAAAATGGCCTGAAACGTATGCAAACAAAATTTGAAACGATTTGGAGCATTTTGAAATTTTGCGCGCGCGCTGACACGCGGACGTACGCATGTGCGCGCATTTTCTGACCTGGAATTGACAGGACGGATATTGACCTTAATCAAGATAAATATGAATGAGAAATGCCTTTCCGTTATGAAGATTATGATCCTGAGTAAAGAAGTATAAAAAAAACACAAAATGGCGCCTGGATGACGTCATGAAGACTTGATGACCTTGAAAATGTTCCTGTCATGTCTTATGACAATGACCTATGACTGTGCCAAAATTGAACGAAATTGACTAAATTTATCTTGAGTTATCCTCGGAACAAAAAAGTGGGAACAATAAATAAAAATAAAGAATAAATAAATAAATAAATAATAAAGAAAGAAAATTCTGACGAAAACAATAGGTGATCTGTCTACGACAGACCACCTAACTAGATGGACCTTTGAAAATGTTTGAATTTAGATCAAATACAATATCATACCAATTCAGCTCCACTTTCAAAAAAATATGGTGACCATTAATTAATTAATATTAATTAATAATAACAATACATGGGCCGGCTGGTTTTGCATATTTCAACCAACACAAAAAAGCCCCCCAAAAGCCAATATTGGCATTGGCTGGAATAAAACGTATGAGGCGCTATCTCGTTTTTCAACGGCTGGTTCAAAATTACTGAATATTTGTGGGGCACCACAAATATTAGAAAAGATTATATTTATATAACATTGACTGGCCTTGAGGGAGATACAACATATATTTCCTGAACTAGACTCATATTGCCCAGGGTCAAAGACGAGGGCAATATGGGTCTTGTGAGGGCAATATATGTGGTACCTGCCGAAAGTTAAGCCAGTCAATATTGTTATTCAGATTCAGATTCGGATTAATTTTATTGGTCCATTTAATGTTATCCAAATCAGACATCTAGAGCAAATACATAAATCACCCACGACAATCTCAAAGAACTGAAAAAACTTTGTCAAACCAGCACTGTACTGTGCATCCAGTGCTTGACGAAATTTTCGATACACTGCAAACAGTGCTTTTGGTGTGATATTACGTCACAAAAGATTGCGCAGGTTCCTGTACGCATAATAGATGCACAATGAAAATAACAAAATACAGCGCAGTGAATATGAGACTTTATTTTCTGCTTTTTTAACATGTTAAGTCCATAGGTTTTTTCATGATAGGGTAATATGGCCTCATATTTACTGATTAGCTCTTTTAGATTACAAGAAGTGTAATATGATTTTGTAAAACCATTGCTCAGATGTCTGATATGGGTAATAATTATGGATATTTCAGCCGTCTCTGAACCCATTTTGATCAAACAAAGATGATTTCGTCATTTAAATTGTATATTCTTTCAAATTTGACACTCAGTTTTTCATTATCTCACAAAAACCTTATTTTGTTTAGCGCCCTCTGCAACAGAACTCAACTATCCCTTTAAGTACCTCGGATCAGTAATATAAAACAGAGGATCATCAGAGATGAATATCAGGGCACGAGCAGCAGTGGCTCAAAAACAGTAACAGGACTAGCTGACACCTGTGTACCAAATGGTCATCTGTTTGTGCTGCACAAGGATTCAATCAGTTTAATTTTGGCCATTACAAGTATATTGATGTAGACAAATGTTCATGTACCTGTTACATCTCATTTTATGTATGTTATTACCAAAGAAAAAAAGATGTCAGTCAGCCACTCAATAGTGTCTGACAGTGAAGTCTATAAATAAACTGATTTCCTTGCCTAATTTGAAGACTAGGACACTGCTAACGTTAACATTTCACAGGTAGGACATACATGACATATACATAATTCCTGCTAAATTCTACAGAATTTGATTTTGGCTGCAAAAGGGACATAGCATCTCTATCTCAGGTACTAACGGAACCCGGAAGTGCAGAAAATTGTGCGACACTGCCAAATCCTGAGTTAAATTGGAGATCTGTCCATGGCCGTCTATCTGAATTACTTTTGAGAGTTTGGATAGTTGTTCAGCTCCCTGATTCGTGTAAGTTTTGTGGCTCATGAATTATTATTAAGTTTGTAACACCTCTTGAAACAGCTGTCTGACGGAATACTGGAAGTTGACATAAGTGTATTTGAGTTAACCAACCAAAAGGTTAGAGTGCCATCTTTGGGGCAACAGACTTTGAGTTTCTAGACAAATATGGAAGATCCAATGTTTAAGGCAAATTGATGAATCTGTAGCGTCTAATACATTCACACTTTTACAGATTTTTTTTTTTTCCCCCCTTCCACAGGGTTCTTTATTTTCAAAACAAATTCCATCATATACAGTATATCCATATATCAAATACAAATAATTAAAGAAATAATTTACATACATAATGGCTTGACACATATAATAATCATCACTGCCGAAAACTTTTGTGGCAGATAAAAACAAACATGTATGACAAAATTAGTACTTTAAATATATAATTTTAAACAAAACCAAACATAAAATACATGGTCATGATTATGTTAGCACATTTCCAACACTCTCAAAACATTTTCTAAAGTGAAACCATTTCTTTTTCAATTTATTCTCTCTGAGATTTGTTTGGTATATATATTTTTCCATTTCATAATAACGTTTTACAGCTGATAAAATTATATCAAATGATGGTAGTTGATTTTGTAATTTAGCTGAAAATATTTCTTGTCTTACAACCATCAGAACACAGTTGAGTGCATTATTATTGCTACTGCAAAATCCAAACAATTTATTTTGATTTGTAAGTTTGATCCTTTCCCCCGTATTACGAAATATCCAGAACTCTAACTTCGACCATACTTTGTTAGAATAATTACAAAAGCAAAAAACATGTATGATAGTTTCATCACTGTTATTACAAAAAGTACACTTCTTGTCAACCACTACACCAAATCTTAACAAACTGTCCTTCATATATAATATTCTATTTAAAATCTTGATTTGAAACCACCTCATGTTGATATCTATTGTTGACTGAAATGGAATTTGACAGTACGAACCCCAAAGTACATCTTGAAAATTTAAAAAACTTTTCCACTTTGTAAGGGCTTTACATTCTTTTACTTTGTTTTTTAGCAAAGACTGATAAATATGTGAACAACCAACACTTGTTTTCACAAGGTGCACGGCTTCGGGAATGATAGGGGCTAAGGCCTTACTAGGAGCTACATGTGTAGCCATTTTAAAACCTGACCGAATTGCATTACAAAAACCATAGTACTGGAGGAAATTTGTTTGTCGAATATCCGCTGAAACTCAACATATGAAAAAAAAGAACCATCTATATTTACAAAACGTATTACTCGTAAATTCCAAGCCCCAAAACATACCACTTTGTCATTCATTTTAATGTGGGGGTTATTCCAGAGAGGTTGACTTGCAATGTCGTCAATAAGAAGTTCGACCAAGTCTGACCAAGCGAAAAGTACCTCTTTCCAAAATGGATTTGGCGTCAAGTCTGCTAATTTTCTAAAATAATGTGAGCCCATATACAGGTGAAAAAATAGGTTTGGGGCAAGAATGAATTGAACATGTGAAAAGTGAAACTTTCTATCTGAGAATGAGTTACAAATCTTCTAATCCATGATATTTTCAGGGATTTAGCATGAATATAAATATTAATCATCTTAACCCCACCTTTATTATACATTTGACACATTTGTTCTCTATTAATTTTATCAGGTTTGTTACCCCATATAAATGCATAAAAAGAACGATTTATATCTTTCATAATTTGCGAATTCGGTTCTGGAAGTGAAAGGAAAAAATAGTTCAATTTTGGCACCAACAAAGATTTGACTACAGTTATTCTTCCGAGGACAGTTAAGGTTCGTTTAGACCATGAAATAATTTGGCGTTTTATATCTTTAATTTTTTCAGTATAATTATGATTTACCATCTCTACTAAGTTAACCGAAAAATCTATTCCTAAGTATCTCGAATAACCTTCTGATACCCAATTTAATTTGTGCTCTGGCATTAGCTGTTTTTTGCAGGCTCTATTTTGCCCAATCCATATCACATGAGTTTTTGTAATGTTTGATCTTTAGGTTTGACATTTCTTCAAAATCACTCAATATTTTCAGTGAGCTCTGTAAATCTTCTTTTGTACCGTTAAGTGTCAAAATGGTGTCATCTGCGTATTGTAGTAGTTTACTATTTTTTCCCTGTAGATGCAAGCCAATTAAATCATTGGAATGTCTAATCATAATTCCCAATATTTCGCTTACAAGTAAAAACAGGTATGGAGATAATGGGTCTCCTTGACGACACCCTTGTCCTATAGTAAATCTTTCTGTGCAAAAACCATTTACTGTGACACAAGAAGAAGCATTTTGATAAAATAAATGAATCCATTTTTTCAGCGATGGCCCAAAATGAAAAAAGTCAAGGACATTGATTAGAAACTTGTGAGATATACAATCGAAGGCCTTTTCAAAATCAATCATCAACAACATGCCTGGAATATCATTAAGTTCGGTATATAATAATATATCCTAAATTAAACGAATATTTTCTCCGATAAAACGGCCTTTCAAAAATCCTTTTTGATTCTCATGTATCAAGTGGGGCAATACTTGCTTTAATCGATTAGCTATGCACCCAGATGCTATTTTGTATATAACATTTAAAAGTGAAATAGGACGCCAATTCTTTAATAAATGTCGAGGCTTGTTTCCTTTAGGAATTAAAGTGATTATTCCTAATTTCTGTGATTGCGACAATTCTCCTGTAAAATAAGCAAAGTTCAAAGATCTGATCATAAACATTTTAAGATATTGCCAAAAGAAACGAAAAAATTCAACGGTGAAGCCATCTTGCCCAGGGGATTTATTATTTTTCATACTTTTTAGCATTAAACAAACCTCACTTTCACTCAAAGGACCTTCTAAAAATTTGGATAATTCTGGAGTTAACTTAGGAATATCTGGATGGTTCAATAATATGTCTATATCTATCTCTTCAGTGTCTTTTGTCTTGTATAAGTTTGAATAAAATTTAAAGATTTCGTTTGATATACCATCTTGTCCACTAATAACATCTCCATTTTCTGTTGACAATTGCCGTATTTCTTTATTTACTTTATTCTGTTTTTCCAAGTTTAAAAAATATTTTGATGACCTTTCTCCTAGCTCCATCCATTTGATTCTAGATCTCATAATAATTCCATCATTTACTTTTAGGCGATAGGTTTCAAGTTGTGACTTTTTGTCACTTAATTCTTTTAGTAATGCGGTCTTATCATTCGATGTCACTAGTCTTTGTTCCAGTACTTCAATATTTCTTTCCAGTTCTTTTCCCGACTGATGTTTTGTTTCTTTAGGATATAGATTCACCCCGCAATAGCATTATCAGAGTTTCAAAAAATAATTGGTCATTGATAGAAAATTCACAATTTCCAACTATGTTATCATTTTCATTAAACTCTACCTCATCTTTTGCATAAAATGTAATTGTCTCTTTTATAGTTTTTATAACTTTTGACACAAAATTTTCATCTTTTAATAGAGAATTATTAAATTTCCAAAATTCCCGGACCCCGTTTAATTTTATTTAAAGTCAAGCTAAGACGAACTAATGAGTGATCTGTTCGATAACCAGATAAAATATCAGATTTATGAAATAATGATAGTAATTCTGATGATATAAAAAAGAAGTCTAATCTACTTTGTTTAAAAGGGTTCGGCTGGCGCCACGTGTAATATTTTTTCACAGGATATCTAATTCTCCATGGGTCACATATGAACATAATTATGAGTATCAAGGGTCTGGTCCTGCACTAAATTCCAGTCTCCACAAATAACAACATGTGGATTTTCGAACTCTGTTATGATACGTTGTAAATCAGAATAAAAAATTGGATTATCAGTGTTCGGGCCATATAAAGACGCCAGTGTAATGTCGTACTCATATAATGTCAAATCTAAAACTACTAAGTTACCACCATTGTCTATTCTACTTTGATTAACTTTGACCGGAATAGTATCCTTAAACAAAATTGCTACTCCTCTAGAGCTGGATGTATGATAAGAGAAAAAACACTTGCCTCCCCATTTGCGACATATTTCTGTTTCTATGTCAGGAGTGAAATGAGTGTCTTGAATACAACATACATCATATTGTTTAGATTTTAAATATAACAAAACATCTTCTCTTTTCTTATCATTTGCTAGGCCGTGACAATTCATTGAAAAAAAAGTAATGTCACCCTGCATCAGACGAGAGTACCGAGGCGAAAAAAGACGACGAACTACCTGTGGAAGATTTATTCAATATAAATACAACTTACACACATACAAAAACACGAACATCAAACACAACTGTCGAATAACGACACGCCCGATAAGCCACGGGCAACAGCATTGTGGCCAAAATAAATCCTCTCAAGACCCTTTGAAATACGAGAGAAACGATTTACATTAATTTACATAGCAGGGAGTGTAACAGAAAGAGAGATAGAGATAGAGATAGATGGTGCAACATCCTAAGTTCAAGAGTTCAGCGACTCACTGCTTTGTATCGGCACCGACGTTAACTTCATCATTTTCTTCCTTGGCCTCCGACATCATGCGACTCACTGCTTCGTCATCAAGCGCCACAATTTCTTCTTGTCTTAAAGTTTCATCATCATCATTACGAGCGTCAGCCTTGAAATCATTCTTCACAGCTCTTCAGCCATGACAATGAAGTTACGTCTCCGCCTTCAAGCCTCTGCATCATCATCGCGTGAGCCCCTTCCTTGGTTCTTCACATTTCATCATCTTCATTGGACTTTTAACATCATTTTCTATCAGTCATAAGCCTTATTTATTCGTTACATTTATTCATGTCCATTCTCATTCATTACATGACCATTTAATCTCTGTGCAATATTTTTTGATTCTCATTCATGTGATTCTTATTCTGATCAAGTCATTGGGCCGTATGCATAAAAAGTAGCAATTGCTTGCAAGCAATTGCTTCAAGCACAAGCAATTGCTTGTCAAGCAAAAGATCAAGCTCAAGCAATTGCTTAAATCCGTATGCATAACATTTTGCTTGTGCTCAAACCTTTTGCTTGCCTCCAGCAAGCAATTGCTTACGATCTCAACAATAGCGACGTCACGCCGGTGCGAACATCATTCATGGGAGAACAAAGGCGGGTTTCGCATACTAGTAGTGTATTCAAATGTCATGCGTGTGGGGTAGCCTTTCCTGACATGGCAGTATAACATTCCAGGATGACATATTTCAGAACAAAATGAAAAAAAAACACCGATACATGCACACACAAGCGCACACCCAATTCTACTCCTGTACAACTTTGGTTTTTCTCTAACGAGCATAAACATGATGCTTAACCGCGAACGTCCCGATTAAGCAAGAGCTCAAGCTGCTATGACGGAGCTTGAAAAGACGTAAGCAATTGCTTATAAGAACAAGCAAAAGGTTCGTTTTATGCATACGTTTTTAAGCAATTGCTTGATCTTTAAGCAATTGCTTGCGGACATCAAGCAATTGCTTGTGCTTGCTAGCAAAAGCATTTGCTTGCAAGCAATTGCTTATGTTTATGCATACGGATTCAAGTAAAAGGCTAGCACAAGCAATTGCTACTTTTTATGCATACGGCCCATTTATTTGCTTGACTATACTTTGCACGTGTTTAGTCCGCAGTTCATATACCTCAATGAAATAATGAAAAGGGAATACTTTTTATCATGTATTTTATTGTCAGAGCAACCTTGCTTGCTCGTAGCTAACAGAAAAAAAATAGAGTAATGTTGTGTGATTGGTGAACACCCTTTCAAATCTCCATTCATAATCCATCCACATACTAATTTCTCTACAAGCCTTTGTATATTTAAGTTACATTTATAGAAGTGTAAAAACTGTTCAGCAAACACAAAGAAAGAAATAGTAAGGTTAAGTAAAAGGCAAGGTTTGATAAGATGCCTATGGGTCACGCCCAAATTTGAATCTATTATGAAAATAATTATGATCTGAATAGACGAGGAACCTGTCATTGATTACAAATTGTGACTGTCGGAGAAGTCAGGCTTTGAATTAATGCCCATTTTTGTATGTCATTTGTTTCTCACAGTTTTTAAGGAGTGAAAGGAATGAAGCTACATTCATAGAAAGGATAGCTAAACAAGGAATAAAGAAACGCTCCCATAAAAGCATTGTCGACTTGTTGTTTGTGATTGGCTGCAGTTACACTGGGCGCATTACCCTATAGTAGACCAACTTTATTGAGCTCTTACAGAAAACCATACTTATTCGACTTTTTGGTGGCTATGAGGTGCGGGGTCACAAACGTACTTTGGACAATAATGATGGACATGCAAATATATATAAAAACAAAACCTTATAATATGATACACCTAATTTGGCATGTAAGTTGTTTGAAAATGGATGTTGAGAATATCACATGTAGTTTAGAACTGCCATGGCTTTGAAGAAATTTCCAAGAGATGATTTTCAACCTGTAAAATAACTTGCTTTTAGACCCCTACTCTGCCTTACTTCTTCTATTATATTCATCTTCAATTTGGTGCTGACATATAAAATACATCTTTTCAATATATTTTTTGCCATAAAAAACATTTGCAATAGAAAAATACCTCTATCGATTCTGGATTTTTTTTTAATACCTGTTTGAATGAGTGCAGATCAAAAACTTGGCATCCTTCCTCTCCGTCAAAGTTCTCTGTATCGCTTTGGCCAGAGTATGCGTCTTTCCTGTCCCAAATGGCCCGAGGATCATGGTTGGACCGTTATAGGATGTGGCTTCCCTTCCTCGTGTTCCTAATGACTTGATAAGGCGGACAACCTTCTCCTGTCTACTGTTCAAACCCTCAAGACAGTCCTCATCAGCTACTTCCGGAAACCTGTTTTGGACCAAAATATTATATTCTAAAATGGATACATTTAATTCCTTTTAAAATGATCACACATTTGTACATGTACTTATTTTTTGTTCAGCTCCTTGTTTGCTTTTAAATCACCAAAGGAAAGGAAGCTTTGGGTAACTGTGAAATATTTCATTTTAATACTTACATGTTTATGTATATAGGAACATCTGATTTTAAACATGTTGTAATGTGTTGCATACTACTACTACTACTACTACTAATACTACTACTACTACTTCAACACTACTAATACTACTACTTATAGGAAACAATGCTCATACCGTATTTGCCAGCGTAAAGGCCGCAGTATTTTTGAAGGAAAATATCAAAAAGTTGGGGTGCGGCCAAAGCGACGAAAGAGTAAAAAAAAAATTAAAAAGTAAGTCAGAACCAGCACGAATTTGCACATATGGGACTAGATCTACGAACGGTACAATAACTATACATTTCCACACATCTTACCGACAATTTTATCTTGCATTGTTGACATGAAGACGAAAATAAACTTCCAAAAACAACATCTACCGATAGATCTTGATCTAAGTTCGTGCCAATGCATTGCAAAAGTAAAAGAAGGGCCCGTTTAACGGAGCTGCCGCGAAGCATCCAGCACGCGAAGTCGCCATTTTGAATCCATTTCAATACACAAGAGAGAGGCGCAATGTATACATCACAAAAAAACTACATAAGCTAGCATCAGTGCGGGATGGCCGAGCGGTCTAAGGCAGTGATTTTAGTCAAATCAACATATATACGCAAGAGATCAAATCTCAACTTCGACAAAAAGTATTGTTTTTTTTTAGATGTCAAAATCAGGAGTGCGGCCTATACGGCGCTGCGGCCTCATCGCCGGCAAATACGGTACCTATCACTCAAAGTGCTCAATGCACTCTAATATTATCCCAGCTCAAGCTATATAAATTAGGCTACTCATTTCGGTGCTCACAGCACTCTTTCTTTTTCTGTACATATCTGGGCCCTGTCTTATAAACAGTTGCTGATTAATCCCAACTTATTGGCGATTGATATAGCAAATTTGTACATAAGAGGTAAGAGACTGCAAACTTGTGACTGATTTGGATCAATTGCAAGTCTTCATAAGAGGGGGCCTTGGATGAAAGTTTAGGCAACATGAAGCCTGATCAATATAGTACATGCATTTTGCATTCCGGATGCGTCTTACACTATTAAAGCTATTTAATTGCTGCCACACCAATTATCTATAGTGCTTGTAATTTACATAAAACAATGGCTGACCTATTCGGCTGCTGTCCTTTGGGCAGAACAGTGTCCATACAACTCAAGCTCTCTACAGCATGATGCATAGAGAGAAATCGTTGGCGACTGATGTACAATTGAATGGTCACTGACACATCCATGCCCCCCTTCAATCGATGCTCCTTCACACATGATGACCCAAGGGTTATCACAATGGCACCCTTCTCAGACCGCACCTTCAGAGCTTCATAGACTACATCCGACTGCTCGTGAAATTTGATGAAGATGGTTTCAACAAACTCCTGGACTAGACGGGAAGCTTCTGAGTCATCGTGAAGCGGCTTGTCAAGGGTGATAGTCCCAAACAGCTCTCCTTCTTGAGCACCAAGGAGATCATGTTCCAGCTGGACATGGTCAGATACTTTCATAATGGTTACTGTCCGGAACCTTGAAATAAAAATGGGAGAATTGTAAGTTAAATATGAATATCAAAGCTATACAAAGTTTTAAAATATAAAATCATAGGCTATTGAAGCTCCCTATGCATTTGTGTTGAGTTGTCAACGATTACAAACCATAGACAATTACAATCCAAATGACTACCGTCTGGTGGGATGACATTGAAATAGCAGTGTTATGTGGTATGTGACATGTTCCAGGGATCTTAATATGTCTTAACTAGTGTCAATGGGATAGACAGGTGGAAGGATGGAGACACTTTAGCCTATGTTTGGTGGCATGACAGCTGTAGTGAGATCTGGACATTTTAACAGCTTTTCGATTTTGCAAAGTGGCAAGAACACAGCATGGTGGAAGCAATGGGAGTAATGGGATCTTAACATCGTGGCAGCTGTGGGATATTAACATGGTGGCTGCAGTGGCAGCGGTGGGATGATAACATAGTAGCATCAGTGGCAGCGGTGGGATGTTAACATGTTGGCAGCAGTGGCAGCGGTGGGATGTTAACATGGTGGCTGCAGTGGCAGCGGTGGGATGTTAACATGGTGGCTGCATTGGGAGCGGTGGGATGTTAACATGGTGGCTGCAGTGGCAGCGGTGAGATGTTAACATGTTGGCAGCAACGGGAGTAATGGGATGTTTACATGGTGGAAGCAGTGGCAGCGGTAGGATGTTAACATGGTGACAGCAGTGGGAGCGGTGGGATGATAACATGGTGGCATCAGTGGGAGCAGTGGGATGTTAACATGGTGGCAGCAGTGGCAGCGGTGGGATGTTAACATGGTAGCTGCAGTGGCAGCGGTGGGATGTTAACATGGTGGCAGCAGTGGGAGCGATCGGATGTTAACGTGGTGGCAGCAGTGGGAGCGGTGGGATGTTAAGATGGTGGCAGCAGTGGCAGCGGTGGGATATTAACGTGGTGGCAGCTGTACGAGCGGTGGGGTGTTAACATGGTGGCTGCAGTAGCACCAGTGAGATGTTAACATGGTGGCTGCATTAGGAGTGATGGGATGTTAACATGGTGGCAGCAGTGGCAGCGGTGGGATGTTAACATGGTAGTTGCAGTGGCAGCCGTGGGATATTAACATGGTGGCCGCAGTGGCAGCGGTGGGATGTTAACATGGTGGCTGCAGTGTCAGCGGTGGGATGTTAACATGGTGGCTGCAGTGTCAGCGGTGGGATGTTAACATGGTGGCAGCACTGGCAGCGGTGGGATGTTAACATGGTAGTTGCAGTGGCAGCGGTGGGATATTAACATGGTGGCCGCAGTGGCAGCGGTGGGATGTTAACATGGTGGCTGCAGTGTCAGCGGTGGGATGTTAACATGGTGGCTGCAGTGTCAGCGGTGGAATGTTAACATGGTGGCAGCAGTGGCAGCGGTGGGATGTTAACATGGTGGCTGCAGTGGGAGCGGTGGGATGTTAACATGGTAGCTGCATTAGCAGCGGTGGGATGTTGACATGGTGGCAGCAGTGGGAGCGGTGGGATGTTAACATGGTGGCTGCAGTGGCATCAGTGGGATTTTAACATGGTGGCAGCAGTGGCAGCGGTGGGTGTTAACATGGTGGCTGCAGTAGGAGCGGTGGGATGTTAACATGGTAGCTGCATTAGCAGCGGTGGGATGTTGACATGGTGGCAGCAGTGACAGCGGTGGGATGTTAACATGGTGGCTGCAGTGGCATCAGTGGGATTTTAACATGGTGGCAGCAGTGGCAGCGGTGGGTGTTAACATGGTGGCTGCAGTAGGAGCGGTGGGATGTTAACATGGTAGCTGCAGTGGCAGCGGTGGGATGTTAACATGGTGGCTGCAGTAGGAGCGGTGGGATGTTAACATGGTAGCTGCAGTGGCAGCGGTGGGATGTTAACATGGTGGCAGCAGTAGGAGCGGTGGGATGTTAACATGGTGGCAGCAGTGGGAGCGATGGGATGTTTACATGGTGGCAGCAGTGGCAGCGGTGGGATGTTAACATGGTGGCAGCAGTGGCAGCGGTGGGATGTTAACATGGTGGCTGCAGTAGCAGCAGTGGGATTTTAACATGGTGGCAGCAGTGGCAGCGGTGGGTGTTAACATGGTGGCTGCAGTAGGAGCGGTGGGATGTTAACATGGTAGCTGCAGTGGCAGCGGTGGGATGTTAACATGGTGGCAGCAGTGGGAGCGATCGGATGTTAACGTGGTGGCAGCAGTGGGAGCGGTGGGATGTTAAGATGGTGGCAGCAGTGGCAGCGGTGGGATATTAACGTGGTGGCAGCTGTACGAGCGGTGGGGTGTTAACATGGTGGCTGCAGTAGCAGCAGTGAGATGTTAACATGGTGGCTGCATTAGGAGTGATGGGATGTTAACATGGTGGCTGCAGTGGCAGCGGTGGGATGTTAACATGTTGGCAGCAGTGGGAGTAATGGGATGTTTACATGGAGGCAGCAGTGGCAGCGATGGGATGTTTACATCGTTGGCAGCAGTAGGATTAATAGGATGTTAACATGGTGGCTGCAGTAGGAGCGGTCCTGGGGTAACATACCTTAGAATTCATGAAATTCATGTATAAAGAAATCATGCATGATAAACACTCATGTGCATGTAAAGGCCTTAATTTACTCTCATTTCAGCAAATGATTATTTGTGTACCTTAAACTCACAAACAAACTAGCTGCTGAGTATAAGACTGACTTCCATAGCAAATCAAGATAATCTAAGCATTGTAGAGGGTCATATTCATGGAATAAGTGGAAACTCTGAATTTATCTTGCAATACTTTCAAAAGACTTACTTGGCAACCATCTCCATACATGCTCTCTCTTCATCTGTCAGCATGCAATGCATGAATTGTTTGTATGTGTTCTGGTTAAGACTCTGAACGTCACCAGGGTCAAGGAGAGCTGGTACTCTGTGTGAACCAGGGGTAGGATACTGCCCCTCTAACCTAAAATTAAATTATGAAGATACCAAAGAGAAGGAGATAGAAAGGAAGACCCCAGAAAAGATGGATAGATTATATCAAGAAGGTAGATAAATTGAATTGGAGCTAGCTACAGATAGGACTAGATGTAGAGTAGTAAGGAGACACCATCCCTCCCCCCGACCCCCACAGAGGGAACTCATGGGGTGATGATGATCATAATATACAAAAGTCTCTCTATGCGCTCAACAAGGTAAATAGAGGACTAGATGTAGAGTAGTAATGAGGAGATACCATCCCTCCCCCGACCCCCACAGAGGGAACTCACGGGGTGATGATGATCATAATATACAAAAGTCTCTCTATGCGCTCAACAAGGTAAATACAACTAAAGAAAATACAATTTTATGCTATGAAATAAACTAACACGATTAGAATAACTATTATATTAATAGACAATACATTCCTTAGACCTTAATGACTATTAGGAAAATGGGGGAAATGGTAAAAGGAAACCACTACAGGGACTCTTAGAGCCCCACTGTACTACTTGTAGCTACTTGCTCCCTCTTTATGGAAAACAATGCCTAAGTGTTGCCCCTTGGTCCCCCATGATCCTCTTTTTCGTATGTTAATTGAGAGCTGAGTTGATGAGATAGCCACCTGTCAGTGACCACGCTGGGTGGTCTAATCCTTCCTGGCCAAACTAGTACAGACAGGCTTTAAAGGAATACAGAAAACAACAGAAGATCAAGCCTTCAAAGTCATACAGATAACCTCAATATGGACCAGTTTTCTTAAGTGAGACAAAGCTTACCTCTGAGTCCATTCATCCAGTTGGGTACATTTGATGATCTTACTGTTACTCTCATTCCACAAGTCAGCTGTGTTCACCGTCTGCTCTTTAAACTCCAATTCTTTCATTTCACTCTTGAAGCCAATGGTCACTGACAGCTTCAGAGCAAGACATGGCCGATCACCTAAGAGAAACACAAAGATATACATGTATGTCACTCACAAGCAAAGGGAATTTAGCTTCCGGAATTCCAGAAATAGCTTCCAGAATTCTGACAAATCAACTTTAATGTTGACCACTTCTCAAAAGGATCATACAGTAATGATTAAAGAGAACCTCCACAAGTAATAACATTGAAAAGAAAAACAAATTAAAATAAAGAGTGAATAAGCTTTAACCGGCTTAATGGCAAATTCAAATTTTTAAAAGATGGAGGTAGGGAGTATAAGTACAACCTTGACAAAAAAACCTGTCCCCATGGGGTGATTATTTTCATCCTTGGTACAACCATGTCCTTATGACATTAGTGATTGCACAGGACTAGTTCAAAATGCAATCATTATACCTGACTGTATTAATAATCAGGGATAAAGTATTTGAAAACAAAGGGTACATTCAAATGGTCACTGGTCATTTAGTGAAATACAGTTGAAAGAAGTGTTTTTGTACAGTAGAGGTGTTGTGGTCCAGTGGATAAGTCTCTGGACTGTGAACCACAAGGTACATGTACCAGAAGCACATCCCTGTCTCGGCACTGCCACACTGGACCCAGGTGAGGTAAATGGGTACCTAGTAGGAATCAATTCCTTAAAATGCTCGAGCACTGTAATGGCAGCCATGCAAAAGATGGGGTAATTAACGATGGCGTGCCTGGAGTGGCAATTTACCAGAGACACGAGTGCTGTTCACAAACCTCTTATTATTAGTAGTAGTATTACTAGCAGGGCCCGTGGAAAATCGACGGGATTCTAGGGGGGCAGGGTTAAATAGGTAGAGGCCTATTTGCTATCGAAAATAAAATTAGAGTAATTTTATATAGACAATTTGTATACTACACGCTGTTTGACCATGAATAGCGTACCGTAAAACAAACTATTTCAGGTATGATCTTGCATAATTACGATTTATTTGCGTTATTATTGTTGTAATTTTTATGTAGTTTTCATGAAAAGACTAAAAAGGCAGTAGCTTGGCTTATGATTATGTTCGCATTATTCACACGATTCGTATTATTATTTTCAAAGTAAAAATTTTACGCGAACGGTTTATGCCAATATGTAGCAGTGTGTGTGTGACTGTGAGCGTAGAATCCAGTGAAAGATATTTTTTCGGGGGCTCGATCCATATCAAATTAGGGGGAAGTTTTCGGGGGCTACTTTTTCAACTTTCGGGGGCTCTTTTTTCTTGGGCTGCTTTTTCATGAATTCATTTCAGGACACCGTGTAGCAGCGTAGTGTTGCGTAAAAAAGTGACTTTCTGTGTCAAGTTTCTACGCCGAAAGTATGCGAACAAAAAATTAACATGTTAAATTGTTTGCGTCCATCTTGCGTACCCTTTTGCGTCTCTCAGGGTAGTAGGCCAGCATACTCTCAGCGTAGTTGGTACGCAGCTCTACTATGGACCCCACGCTAATTAGTGACCTAGCTGCCAGTGTCAGAAATAAGGTATTAAAAATATGCTCATCTGACCGTAATTAAATGCCAAGAACCCCTGAGCGGGGGTTCAGCCCTATGAACCCCGTGGACACCACGCTTGCATTTAACTCGCTTTGAGCTACCTGATCCCCCCTCAACACTTTGAAAAACGTTTTAATGCATTTATTTGATGCAAGAACTGTATCATAGTAGACTCTAAAAGTATTGCGACCGTCTGATTTTCTTGTGGAAACTTTACTTTGAAAAATGATTATCGAAATTCAATATACAACAATACATGGCCAGAATAATCACAACCTAAGCTCAGGTTTCATACCTCTACTCACGAAACTATATAGAAATCGGGGCAATAATAGCAATTTCAAAGTGTTGTTTAGAGTCTCCTCACACCCGCTACTCCGGTCACCGCTACTTCATGCTCACACACTCAGCTCCGGCAGCACCGGCGATCGACAGCAGCGCTCAGTTGCAGTGCAGTGGCAATACACCACACGTGTGTACGTGTGGACTCAAGGCATACTATCACATATCTAATTGCGCTATCCTGTTGTGCTTTCGATGTAGTTTGCATGAAAAGACCAATAAAACAGAAGCTTGAACTATGATTATGTTGGCATAGATCACAGAATTTGTATAATTATTTTCAGAGTAAAGATTTTACGCGAAAAAAGGTCCATGGTTTGCGCCAGTTGTAGCAATCGCCTCAAATTGAATCGACTGTACTGAGTGTGTGTGTGTGGCTTGAGTGTGTAATACACGTACACTATGGGCGCCTGGCATACAAAGCATATCCTATTGTGAGATGCCTAACTCAGGGTGAGCCAGACCCGTTACAATGAGATTTGCTACACCCGTTGACGCGAGAGGAATCTCGTCCATCGTGTATCTCTTAATTGTCTCTCTTTCATTAGACAGAGGGCGGGTGCACGCCTTGCCGACTCGCTCTCGCGGGTTCGTCGCCTCCTTGCAATCCACGATGCTCTGAAACCCTGAAACGGCGTTTAACGGCATGGACGTCGATCGCGGGTTCGAGGTGGCACGCGGATTACGGGAGAGAGGCCTCGTGGAATTGTGTCGCCGTCCCTGCGCCACGGCGGAGGCGGGCGGGCGGGGTCGGGGAAAGACGTTTTTGAGGAACCGTTTTGCCCTGTGTTGGACCCCCCACGGCGATTTTGCGTATTAGTAATATAGACTAGCAGGACCCGTGGAAAATCCACGGGATTCTAGGGGGAGGGGAGGGGGTAAATAGAAAGAGGCCTTTGAGCTATCAAAAATAAAATGTGATAATTTTTATATATGATATAGACGATTTTTATAATATACGCTGTTTGGCACACCGTAATACCCGTTTTAAAGCATTGATTTGATGCAAGAACTGTATCGCTGAGTAAAAGTATTCTATCCAGCTAATGAGCTAGTATGTTTTTAATCGACCGTCTGATTTTCTTGTAAAAACTTTACTTTGAAAAATGATTATTGAAATTCAGCATACAACAATACATGGCCAGAATAATCACAATCTAAGCTCAGGTTTCATACCTCTATAGTCACGAAACTATATTGAAATCGGGGCAATAAGAGCAATTTCAAAGTGTTGTCGAGTCTACTCTATGTAGCTCAGCTCAGCTCAGCTCACACACAGTCACAGTTCCGACAGTGCTCGGCAGCAGTGGTGCACTGCACTGTCCGTGCATGGACTCAAGCCTCACGGCAGCTAGCTTGCAACTGAACTGTCAGTTACGATGAATTTCTTGTGAAAACTTTACTTTGAAGAATGATTATCAAAATTCAGTAACCATGGACGAGATAATCACAAAGTTAGCCCTGCTTTCATACCTCTAATTCACGTAAACTATATACAAATCGCGGCAATCATGGAATGAAAGTCACAAACCGACTGTGCGTGTGACATGAGCGTAAAATCATCGCATACATTATACACGTACAGGCATATCCTATAGCAAGATCCATAACACGGGTAAGCCCAGCCCATCAGAGCGTAGATTTACTACATCCCATCACCCGGGTGAGTCATCGGTTATTGTGTATTTCTCTAACATGCTACAAAGCATATCTTATAGAAAGATGCCTAACTTGGGATACGCCGCACCCGTTACAATAAGATTTGCTACACCTGTTGATGCGAGTGGATTCTTGTCCGCCGTGTGTCTCTTTGTTGATTGCACAGAGGGCGGATGCACGCCTTGCAGACTCGCTCTCGCGAGTTCGTTGCCTTCTTGCAATCCGCGACGCCCGCCGTGCTTTCGTCCACCCGTCCTCCCGGAACCTCGAAACCGCGTTTAACGACATGGACGTCGATCGCAGGGTCGACGTGGCACGCGGGTTACGGGAGACATGTCTCGTGGAATTGTGCCACCGTCCCCGCGCCACGGTGGAGGCGGGCGGGGTCGGGGAAAGACGTTTTTGAGGAACCGTTTTGCCCCGTTTTGGACCCCCCGCGGCGATTATGCGTATTAGTAATATAGATTAACAATTTTGAAATTTCTAACCAAAGTCGAAGACAAGCCACTGCTTGAACACGCCGGAGTGGGATTGGATGAAGTTGACCGCTAGGCTGTACTCATCAGAGTCATCACGTCTGAGAAGACCACCTGGACATGTCTGGGGGCGATACTCTTTCTCAGGTTCTGACAGATGGAAGTGAGAGCGCTGTTCATCGTAAAGAAGCCCTACCCTCTTGAGCTTTTTCTGTAATGGCACAACGAAGACAATTTTTTTATTCAGTACATGTATCCTTTCTACCAGTTCATTAACTTTTGCTAATCAAGAGAAGATTTCATGACTACATCAAAGGAAAAGACTCAGGACTGCTTGTGTTTGAATAATGAATGGCATTGACAAATCAAATAATCGTAAATACACATGTACATTGTTTTTGGGATAGGTATAGGAAACTATACAATAAGTTTAATCCATATAACAAAATTATATTCCTTTTTCATAAAATTACAAGAATATATAAAGGAAGGCCAAAATTCAAGCAATACAGCCACAGCACAGTCATAAAAGAGAGGAAGAAAAATTACACAAAAGAAGTCGTTGGGGTGAAATATAAATGGAATGAAACATACCTCACTGCCGCAATGAAGAACAACACGCCATTGGATCAAATCAGATGCAGGCAGCTCTTGTCTAACATCTACATCCCTCTTGCAGTCCAGCTCAATGCCAAATATATCATCAGTAATCTAATGAATAATATCAGAAAATGTGTAAAATATGCTGTTTAGACTTATACAAAACTTGTATAATGTTGTATAAATAAGCTCACTTTGACACTACAGCTGGCCATTCATCAAGGCTCACTCGTTAGAAGCTCCCCAAATAATCGGAAGTTGCATTGATTGGATCCGATTTGGCCTTCAACCCAACAAGGAAGTTTGCAATGCTCAGAAATATAGATTTCATCTATTCATATAAAAAATCAAAAGCTCCATCATTTAGATTTTATATCTATCAATGTTCACATCAAATACTCTAGGACGTTCTTCCAAAATCACATCGTTGGTGGATCGTATTTAGTATGCATTTAGCTTAAGGAAATCTACATACATGTATTTAAAAACCAATAACAGTACTCTTACGATTATCTTTTAAGAATTTTTGGTAGATTTGTGTTTGAATTCGGCATATAAAAGGGATATCGACTGCTTTAATACTCAAGGACTGGCTGTTTCTATACTGAATCTCGGGAAATTTGCCTCTGCTGCTATCACCCCGAGGAGCGGGTATAAAAACAGTCTTCTTGTAATAGTCGATATCTCTATACTATTCAATGCCTCTTACCACATCCTCCATATCCTCGGCAGATGTTTTCTCCTCCACCAGATTGTCCAGCCAGGAGTAGAGCTTCATCTCCCGAGCCTTTCCAAGCTTCATCAAGAGGTGCTGATGGCGCTGCTTCCATTCCCTCAGCTCCTCCATGCTATGAGCATAGATGCACTCGTTCTCTTCCTTGGACATTCCAGAGTGCTCACACTGCTTGGTGGCATTCCTTTCATAGGCAAACAGAGTTTGCGCAGCATGTAAATTTATCATATACAGGCAAAATATGGGTGAATCTCTTTAATTCCCAGTATTTGTTAAATGGTGCGCCACCTATCGGAAATCAAATTTGAGCTACGTACTGCAGCAGCATTGCTGAATTTCCCATTTCACGCATAGCATGTCTTTCATGGGTATTTCTCCAAATATTTTAAGATTGGAAGTGTGGAAATTAGTATTCTGAAGCTAATTCACAGAAAAAAAACATGGCAAAAACAGAGGCAGCATTCATCATTCATCATAAACATCTGTCCAAGTATCACAAGAAAATAGGCAGCATGTTATGCTTACATTAAATGTACAGTACCTAGGTACGCAGAGCCCAGGGAATTCCAATTATTTCCCATGGGGCAAAAAATTGTAAAAATATAAGTTAAAACTTTACTGGCACCAAACATACAATGTGCGATTGCATGCAAACATGAGCAAGTCCAAGCTATTTTGTCCCATGCGGTTCCGATCATATAAAATATTCTAGTGGCTCTGATCACTGTAACGACATAAAAGTCCTACTAGATAAGATGGTATCTTAATATCAATTTAAGTTTGCATAATACAGTTCAATAACACTTAGGACATACCTTGGACTAGCCCCCATACACAGTTCTTATGTAATCAGCTTTCAGAGCATTCAGCAGACTGCTTTAGTCTAATTAATGGACCATTATACATCAAATAAGTTACTTCTTGGCTATAACTGACTTCTAAAAGGAGGGAATTTTTCTTCTTCAACACAGCGCAGTAGAGTCTATTTGATATAGATATAGATCAATCTTATTATTGTTCATTATTAGCGAAGAGGTAAATAAAAAAGCTCACTCTTTGCACATTTCGTAACAGCCATCCTGCACCAAGTTTGGGGGATCACGCTCCTTCCACAGACGATCAGAGTCGGAGAAGATCATGGCCTTGTGGGCGGTGGTCAGGAGATGATTCTCAAAGTCTGTCTTGGAGGTACTGGAGAACTTGCAGAAAGAGCAAACGTGCTGCGTTACATTCGTCTGCTCTGGTTTGGGGAGAGGGTTGCTGGCTGCCTGAGCCTGCTGTTGCAAGCAAACCACCTCCTCCAGCTTAGACACTATAGTTGGAAGAAAAAAGAATGACTACTCATAACTACAATCTGAAACTCAGGATTAAAGGCTGGTTCACGTATGCCATGGTGAGCTGCCACAGTTTCCCAAGGGAATATTGCACTTTACACCTTGTCTTATATCTTATAACACATACATAAATCAGTACATGCTTAAGAACCACTCTTGCTCAGAGCTATTACTTTTTACATCCTCACCTGAAAATCATGCAGTACACACAAAAATTACTGCAGCATGTGAATGAGTCTGAAGACAGCTTTGTATTAATATATCTTTAAGTAATGACCTTTCTCCTCCACTACTACAAATTCCTTTAAACCATTATGATGCCTTGCAGGGTGGGGCCTATGAAACTGTTGTGCAATCTATTTTCACCAAGATTGGTCATTACATCATTTCTAGAACATGATAGCATTTTAAAAACTGTGACAATTTTGGCTGTGAAAGGTATTCAGCAGTGCATCAAGGAATGAAATCTCAAGATAATAGACATTTTATTTATGATGATCTACTGTAAAGCTGGTGGCACATATTACAAACGTGTAGGTTGAAATAAGAATAAATCTACAGGTGTCTGTCTTTGTACAAACAATAACTGACTCACAATTATGTTGTTTCTGGTACTCCCAGAGTTCAAGTTCTTCTTGTGTATGAGGATGCATGCATGCTGTTCCAAACACACTTTCCCGCTTGCACTGCTTCCCATTCCTACACAAGTGGAGTTTAGTGCGAGACCAGAGTCGGGAATGGCGAGGATTGACATGCACCCATTGCTTGTCTTTCGAGGAATGTACCACATACAGAATGTTTGCTCCCCAAGAGTGTCGGCTAGCCCCACTGCAGTATGATGGGCTCTTGGAGCTTTGTTCCTGGATGCAGTTCGGATTCTCATGCAGGCATCTACCACAAGCACGCTGTTCATAAATAAGAAGTAAGAGGAGTCTTTGCTCAATGAGAATGTTACCATAAATAAACAAATGTAGTTTTAAAAAAGGAAATTGTTTTTCTTATCTTTGCAGCATGCTGAGACTCCGTCATGGCTGCAGTCAAGTCCTTGGGTCATCAGACCAAGACCAGGAGGAACAATCTTTGATTACCTTCATTTAGCATTATGTCTCTAGACTCTACGTGACCAAGACTAGATCATTATTATCCCAGAGACCCAGGACAGGTCTCATGTCACTCTCATTACATCACTGGTCCTTGGATGTAAAAAAATGTATGTGGCAAAAGCTTGCAATGTGCCCAGATTCACAGGTGATCACAGGGTTGCATGCTTGATAACAAGTAAGATTTATGATGGCTTACCTTGATAGAATGACCAAAAGGGACTTTGGAGTGACACGATTCCACAGCAATTGCACATTCTGCAGGTGTCTGATTCAGACTGCGGTTGCTGCAGCCCCAAGTGCCTTGGTGTGGATTGATCAGGGCATGAGGGACGGATAGTCGTGATCCTGCAGGTGAGGGTCTGGTTGCTGCTGGGTGATTCAGATCTATGCATGCTTCAAGAATTTCTTTTCGTTGTTTTCCAAGCCTTGCTTCTAACCACCAGACCTGAGCCTCTGCCTCGCTGTGAGCAAAATGACAAGAGTCTCCTCTCTCACATCCATACATCCTATCAACATGGCGACAGACGGCTGTAGGCTTATGCATCACCCTGAAAGGACGCTCACGAATCTTTGTGAATTTGCCACCCCCAAACTGATGAACAAGGTACCTGCTCATGGTCATGGAATGCTTTTTGTATGAGCAAACTGTACGATTACTAGGATTGGGAGGGCTGATTTTCACTGGCTTAGATTCAAAGCATTGCATGCAAACCACAAGCAACTTTCCACCAATCCATTTGAGTTCATTCAGAAGGGTTTCGTCGAACGTTACTACAGAGTGTCCGGGGATCTTTTGAAATGTCTGTGAGTTATTGCTCTTGGCACACAATACCCCAGGAGAATTGTAGATGGATGAAGCAGTGGCAACTTCTCTAGGTACCACATTCATGCCAGTTTGCCTAAATGGCAATCTAGAAGATATCGGAAAGGTACCTGCAGCAACTCTACTGCTTTGATTTGGAGGCTGTGATGACGTTTTGACTCCGCTTCTCTGCCAGGCACTCCTGTCTTCATCTTGCAGAACTTCAAATGGATTTTTCACCGGCACTGCACCTGACGTAGCCTCATACATCTCTTTGGGTTCATCTGAACTATTGAGAGACTGTGTCTTGACATCTTCTTGTTGGAGAGAGGAATATCCCGGATTAGATGTCTGTAGACTTCCACTTCGTGATCTTGCCACACTGTTGCTTCTGTACTTGGTATTACCAACATCTTGGTCAAGCTGACTTTCCCTTCGAGGTCTGGCACCGCTGTTGCTCCAACTCTTGGAGTCACCATTGTCTTGGGAGACAAGACTCTCACTTCGTGATCTCGCTGGAGTGCTACCCTTTCTATTGGATTTCCCTTGGTCATGTTGCCCTTGTGTCTTCATAACTGAACTAGGCAGATCTCCAGGTGACCTTTGTCCCTGACGGATAACATTACCTCCTTCACTACTCCGCAGCTGGGGGACAGATCCAGAGGCATGAGATGGTCTATCTTTCCCATCACGGCGGGACTTCTTCTTCTTCTGAAATTAAAAAAAGATTCATCAAAGCAACACAGGGACACCAAAGATGAGTCTAAAACAAATATACAAAAAAAAAACAATAATAATAACAGAATAATACTAATGCTATTAATAATAAGCTGCACAAAGATTAACCAACTATTAACAAGACTTCAAAACCAGACACCAAAATACATGCATTCACCTTAGAACTATAAGCTAAAAAAGATAACCAACAGTCTTTTCAAGACTACACCAACAGTCCTTTTCAGGACTACAACCCTCAAGAAAGATTACCGAGAGTCCTTTTCAGGACTCCTCAATCCTCCCTCTCTCTCACATGGTGCAACCGCAAGCCATCTGTATAACATGTATTCTGTTAAAAATGCTGTTGGATCCCTAATATTAACCCTGTACACTGGTTTTGGGGGAAAAGGTCACCAGCTCTCCCATGAACCCTAAATTCGACTTCAGACCAAAATGTTTGAATGTAAACATTGGGCTGAATACATGCAAACCCTAACAATGTCCTTCTGGACACCATTTGAGTAAATTAGCAAGAAACCCTGCTTACACCATGATGTTGTCCGTGTGAGTGTTGCCTCTGTGCAATCAATTCTCCCTCTCTCTCACATGGTGCACCCGCAAGCCTACTGTATATCTACATCACCATGCAAGCCGATACTTACAAGCAGCATCTAACCCAGCTCTACGGGGAGCCGACCCAAGTATTATCCCGGCAACTGCAGCGTAACTACGTTAAAGAAGCCAAACTCCAGAATCACCTAACCTTCCTCAAGCGTTGCCGTGACTCAAGCATCAGAACCGGCTGATCTTCGGAAATGCCAGGACTTCAACACCTCTACAGCTGGGAAACTTTCCAGTCAACCTGACAGAAGCAGATCGTCAAATTCAACAAACTTCTAGCTAACAGCCAGAAATCAACCAACCAGACTACACCAACCGGCACCAAGGACACCTTTATCAACCTCAGCAACCATCCACTCACAGAAACCAAACACAAAGTCCTATCATTAGGTCTCAACTTCGCCGTGTCAGAAGTCATCCAACAAGTAGAACCCAAACTGAGATTCCTGAGCCGAACCGCAGCGGACAAAATCCGTTTCCAAGTCACCCAAGCTCTATCCACAGCTAAGCCACCACAACCCAACATTAGCAAACCAGAACGAGCCGCTATCAAAGATCTACGCAACAACCCGTCAATACACATTCTACAGGCAGACAAGGGAAACGCTACAGTAGTTCTGAACAAAGGGGACTACAACAATAAGATCGGTGCGCTCCTCGAGACTCCGACTTATAAACAACTAAAGAAATATCCCACACTAGCAACGGAAAGGAAACTCGACCAGCGACTCCTCTCTCTTCACAGAACAGAAGTCATATCTAAGCCACTCTACTTCAAACTTCGCTCTTCTACACAAACCTAACATTTCACTTCGCCCCTTCATTTCAACCTGAGGATCGCCTTCCTATGACACCTGACCTCGATTCTCCAACCACTCGTAGGACAATCGCAGCACCACATCAATAACTCCATACAGACATCATGGTCAGTTTCGATGTTGAATCTCTCTTCACCAATGTTCCTGTCACCGAATCCTGCCGAATCGTCAAAAAACGCCTCGAAGCTGACGACACCCTCCCCGACAGAACTCCCCTGACACCGGATGATATACATGACCTCATGTACTTCTGCCTCAACTCAACTGCCTTCAAATGTCGAGACAATTACTACCAGCAACTTCAAGGCGCAGCCATGGATCAACTCTTTCACCGGTTATAGCCAACATCTTCATGGAGCACTTCGAAACAACGGCACTCCAGACTCTCTCACAACACCATTCCCTCTAGCTCCGATATGTCGACGACACATTCGTCATCTGGCCGCATAGCAGACCTGACTTAAACCACTTCCTCACCCACATCAACCAGCATCATCCAAGCATCAAATTCACCATGGAGACCGAGCAAAACAACAGCATCCTCTTCCTAGACGTCCTCATTACCAAATCACCATCCGGCAAGCTCACCAAGTCTACAGGAAACCCACACACACCGATAGATATCTTCACTACAAATCCTTCCACCACCCATCCGTACTACAATCAGTCCCCAACGCCCTCATTTGCCGAGCCAATCAACTCAGCGATGCCGACCATCTAGACCAGGAAATCCAGAATGTCACCACAGCCCTAACTACCATCATACCCAAGACATAAGATCAAGTCCAGGACTCCCGCCAGCCAACACCATCCCTGAATAGAACCAAACCACAGCTACACCACCAAAACAAACTGTTGTTCTACCCTATATCGGTTCCTCCAACAAACTCCATTCAATACTCCACTCCCACAAAAACCAGCATCCAAACCACAAGAAAGCTGGAGTCTACAAAATACCATGCGAATGAATATAGTCTACATTGGTGAAACGGGCAGAAATCTGGAAACAAGACTCAAGGAGCACAGATTGGGATAATTCCGCCATCGTCAAACACGCCCAGCAACACGAACACACCATGGGGATAATGGGATAACAGTCATCTCATCTCCATAATGAAGCACTGGCACACACGCCAAATCCGAGAAGCCATCGAAATTCACCGCCACAACACCGTGACCCAAGACTCAGGATTATATCAACAACATCTGGAAACCCCTCATCAAAAGGTACCCGGTCACTCCTCCTCCACCACCGCCTCCACCACCGCCTTCGCCATCCCCGCCGACACCCGTACATCAACCACCGCCACCCGCTGTACCCTCAAAGCAGCCGCCAGCCCCACAGCTACAGTGCAAAGCAGACGACAGCAGACTTCAACGCCACCTACGTTGGGAACACACACAGCGTCTCGCCGACAGCACACCCCACTCATGGATTCAAAACTCCCCCAAGTCGGCAACCCAGAGACTCCAGCCCAGACGGAAAAGCAGACGCACAAGCAGACACTCATGTCTCCCCGATGACTCAAGCTCGAACGGTCATGTATATTTCCCCCACGTCCGCACCACGGTGACTTAAGCTCACGCACGCCAGCTATTCTCCACTCCTGACGACGGATAGTCAACCTGTTTGAAACGTCAAGCTTCTCCCGCCACCCATCCTCTCCAAGGGCTATAGTTCTCTTTAGAACTATAAGCTAAAAAAGATAACCAACAGTCTTTTTCAAGACTACACGAACAGTCCTTTTCAGGACTACAAACCCTCAAGAAAGATTACTGAGAGTCCTTTTCAGGACTCCTCAATCCTCCCTCTCTCTCACATGGTGCAACCGCAAGCCATCTGTATAACATGTATTCTGTTAAAAATGCTGTTGGATCCCTAATGTTAAACCTGTACACTGGTTTGGGGGAAAAGGTCACCAGCTCTCCCATAAACCCTAAATTCGACTTCAGACCAAAATGTCAGAATGTAAACATTGGGCTGAATACATGCAAACCCTAACAATGTCCTTCTGGACACCATTTGAGTAAATAAGCAAGAAACCCCGCTTACACCATGATGTTGTCCGTGTGAGTGTTGCCTCTGTGCAATCTGTCGATGCTCTATAGGTATCCAGTCCATCTCCACCCCATGATTCCTTTGTCCCTGAGCCGACGCACTGGCGCCCTCATCGGCAGGTCCAAGAATAGTCCAAATTCTTTCAAACAATTCTCTTGGGTCACTCCACCTAAAGAAGCTCATCACAATTTTCTAGATGGAGAGAAATATAAAATTGCCATAGAATAATTTCATTTTTGTTGACGGTACTGATAGAAAGGTCAGCAACCAAAATAGGAATTAAAATGTTACTATGTATGAATGTATAAATATATATATGCTTGCCTATACAACAAAATAAATTAATAAATTTCACTACCGGTATATAATATTATATTCCACATACTAAGAATCTTGCTCTACATCATTGATGGGAGAAGAAAAGTTTGCAGTGTGTAGATAGTAGTACTGTCTACACAGTGCAACACACTTTCACTGAAGATAGAAGTACTATCTACACAGTGCAATGCACTTTAATTGTATACGCTGCGTTTTGCTCTCCTCTTTAAGCGCTTTTATTGTAAGTACGCGAACTTTGGTCCCGCACGAACTACAGTATATGGTCACACCCCCATACTACATGCACTGTACGTATCATACACCGTTTGCTAGCTGTTAATTGATGACTTGTTGCTCTAAAATGACGCAAGAAGTGAAATGTTTCCGATGTGGAATATAAAGCAAATAATCATCTTTTGGTTTCAGGCGATGGCAAACTATCACTTCCTCGGAGATCCGAATGTATACGCTATCTTTCCTCAGCTTTGCTTTGGAAAAATAGCTACATCCAGATCGCCTCGGAAGTGAAAGTTTGTCCCATCACCTTCACCAACGGTAGTTATTTGCTTACTATACATGTTATACACCCTAGATATTATTATTGCACATATGTTTTTACACATCCCCTGCTTGAAAATAAAATATTCCTTCATGAAAAAATCAGAAAATAGAAATAAAAAAAATAAAAAAAATACAGAGTTGTCAATTAGTGTTTGAATAATAATATGGTCATACAAATACGAGTAACGCAAGTCTTTTATAATTCGTCCACAATCAGACATGTCTCTTTATGAAATAATAGTAGTAATACAAGAAAGAACAAAAATAATTGATGGTAATTAATATAACACATTGTAATTTTGGAATAGAATAAATGGAAGTAAGATTGTATACAACATACATGTACGTCCTGTCATATATGCACACTCAATGTCTATGTAGAATGACACAGTCAGAGGCATACAATTAAATCAAAGTGAGATAGAGGACTCAGTGCTCATAAGACATCAATGATCAAAGATTAGGAGTTATGAGCTTTTCTCAGTAGGCCTGTCTTCATCAGCTTGAGATTGCCCAATATCCCGCTTTTTAAACTATCCCGATCGCAAATTATCCAGCTAATTTGCGTCTTCATTGCAAGTAGCAATTAGCGGGATAATATCCCAAGAAATCTCGATCTAGTTTGCAAACTATCCCGCTATTTCCCAAATAGCGGGATGGATTGCGCCCGTCTTCATCAGACCGAAGTACGTATAGTCAAATATCTGTGTTTGTAAATAAAGTAGCTTGTAGCACATGCTCTAACCTGCGCTGCATGCATGCACAGTCACTGATAGCCGGTACTTGTTTACGTTTTACAGCGCGGGTCGTACAGTCGGTCTCTGAAGTGCGCATGCGTCAATCTCAAGATTAGTTTTCGAGCTAGTTTGTGATGGTGTATCGGGCTGGTGAAGACGCAATTTCGAGCATTAGGATAATATCCCGAGTCTGAAAATAGTGGGATATTTGGCAATCTCGAGCTGATGACAGGCCTTGTATGTCACATTATGTATAATGCTAAATATACACAGAGGTCAGAGGAGCCAGATGCAATCTCAGCGGAACAACCGTCGATATCAGAGACTGAAGCTTTCGGTCTACCACATCCCTATTATAGCCCATCGGCTTCTATTGGTAAATCGACCCGGGTAGAAGAACCAGTGATAAACTGATAATTCATATTCAATGTTGGCAACTGTCCACCAATAGGTATGTTATAATCTTCATTGCATTTACTCCATCACAAAGATCATTTGAAGTGAATTCAAGATTATGATTTAAAGTGATATGGGCTCGTACACAAATATGCATGTTGTTTCTTGGTTAGTAATCATAATTTATAATCAATATATATATTGCTAAAACGTGAATGTAATTGTAACATGATCAAACAAAATAATCTATTGGTTATTAATTGAATAATTGAATTGAATTCATTTGAATTGAATTGAATTGAATTGCCGAAGGAAAATACGAATCACAAAATTAATGGCATTGTCATAATTTGCTTTAAAAATCATGATAAATATATTTTTCTGTGAACACGTGTGAACTAATCATGAATATGCATGAGATACATAGATCTGTTGGTTTCTATTGTTTTCTATTGGACATATTGGTTTCTATTTGTCTTATTGGTTTCTATGGGTCCTATCGGTCCTATTGGTTTCTATTGGTCTCATTGGTTTATAGTGGTTCTATTGGTCCGATAGGTTTCTATTGAGTATTGGTGCTATTGGTTTCTATTGGTCCTATCGGTCCTATATTGGTTTCTATTGGTCTTATTGGTTTCTATTGGTCCTATTGGTTCTATTGGTCCAATTGGTTTCTATTGAGTTTTGGTTTCTATTGGTTTCTGTTGGTTTCTGATGGTTTGAATGGTCTCTATGGGATTCTATTCTATGGGTCCAACAGAAACCAATAGACTCCAACAGAAACCATTAGAGACCAATATGATTTTTCTGTTGGTCTCTATGGGATTTTCGACCTGGGAAACAATGTTTCTTGACTAGGGATCGACCGATTTTCTATTACCGTTTAGAAATTATATATCAGAACAGCATATTCTGAGATTTTCATGGTCGCAGATACATGTACCATATGGAATGGCTTTAGGCACTATTTGAAATATTTGAAATTTACCGGAAGCACCGGTAAATTTTTGATTACTGTATTCAATTTCTCAAAAGCAGAAGTGTTTTAGGGACTAATTTTTCTAGTGCTTATATTGCATCCACAGGGGCACCCAAATATATCGAAATCGTAAAGAATTACTATCAATCCAATTTTCAGAATTTCCCAAAACTTTGCATTACCTTTAATGCCACTCTGGCTCTCAACAGATGTCTCTTTCATACCCCTAAGGATTAATTTTCATTATTCAAGTAGTCAACAATATAACATTATTAACTCATATCCTGCCATAAGGCCGCGCATGCACCATTATAGTGCTTTGGACACGCAAGCGCGCTATCGATTGGCTGCCTCATTCACGCGAGCGAGCCATTAATTGCTTCGCTGCTTCATGCATGCTTGCTTCGCATTCGTAATAGCAGTTATTGTTCATGCTCATTGTCCTGTGCTGAGTGCTTCCCACGCGCTATTGATCGCACAATCAGATTATCTCCAAAAAGACTTGGCACAGGGGGGATTTGTGGCTTGGCACAATGAGGATGAGCCCCATGGCCCTCGGAAGCGGGGGTGCTGGGGGTGCTGCAGCACCCCTGGAATTTTTCCAGGGGGCATAGCACCCCCTGCAAAAAAAATCTGGTATGATATATTTAATGTATACCACTATATGAGTCATTGCGAAATTTTTGGGACCAAAAAAAAATATATATGTCCTCTTACCCCCCCGGTGACAAAATCGTTCCCAGGGCCCTGATGAGCCCTGTGACTGTATTCATTATGGCAGGATAAGAGTTACGAACTATGGTTTTCTGCTCCATTTTTTACTTAACCATCCAATGGAAGAATCATGCACATGTTTAATGACTTTTTCTGCATTGATTCATTTTGAAGTTCAAGCACCAATTCAAGGAAATGTAACATTTCAGAAAATGATATTTATTGTCATAAGAATAATATACTAATGAAATAATAGTAACATTAGTATTGATAGTAATAGTAATGACAGTACAACATTTATAATACGAGGAAGAAAAATAAGAAAATGAATGACAACAAAGAGTAAATGCTTATAACGTACATTAATATCCATAAGGATGCAGTGAAATGAAAATAGAAAATACATGCTCATATATTACCATTTTATCAGGGTCAAAAGTGAGCAGTTCTGTATTGTATTCCCTGATTTTGTCCAGTGAAACGTTTGCCAAACCGTCTGAGTTTATGTATTCAAGCAATTCTTTCTTCAAATTGGCAACAAGTCTGAGGGTTTTCTTATCATCAATAAGGGCACCAGAAACTTAAAAAAAAGAGAAATAGTAAATAATCATAAATAGAATGTACAATTTTTCATATACATGTATGATCCTTTTATATTTGACCTCAAAATCCCAAAATCTACTCAGTTCATGGGCTCAGCAAGATAAATACATGTCCTGAGTTTGATGGCAATCTGTCCATCGGTTCTAATGATAATGTGATCACGAGCTATTTTTGCATATAATGAGTCCTGTGACATTTGACCTTTGACCTTGTGGCCCCAAACTCTACTCAGCTCATTAGCTCTGCAAGATACATCCATGACATAAGTTTGGCAGGAATCCATCCATCGGTTCTTGAGATAACGCGATCACGAGCTATGTTTGCATACAATGAGCCCTGAGACTTTTGACTTTGACCTCGTGACCCCAGCTCATTAGCTCTGCCAGATACATATATGACCCAAGTTTGGCAGGAATCCATCTATCGGTTCTTGAGATAACGCGATCACGAGCTATGTTTGCATACAATGAGCCCTGAGACTTTTGACTTTGACCTCGTGACCCCAGCTCATTAGCTCTGCCAGATACATATATGACCCAAGTTTGGCAGGAATCCATCTATAGGTTCTTGAGATAACGTGATCACAAGAACGGGATGCATGGACGGATGGACAGACAACCGGAAAACATAATGCCTCCGGCTACTTTGTAGCGGAGGCAAGAAAAGTAATTTACATGTTTCTGCATTTTCAATTTTTTATGGTACTACATGTAGATTGGTGGACTAAATCTACACACTTTGGCAAGGTTGGCCTTAAGTGACTTGGCTTTCTAAAATACAGGGACTCACAAATCTTTACCTTTCTGTAAACTTTGAAGAGCTATCTCAAGAAGTTGCAATCCATTCGGATACTGTTCTGACTGCAAACAAACAAGTGGACAAAAGAGAAAAAGACAGAGAAAAAAAATGACCTTGGAAATAATGATAACTTGAAACAAATCTATATTAAAAAAGAAAGAGAAAAACAGGTTTATTTATGTTCCTCCTTAGCAATTGCTGAAAGTTGAGTTTTGTTTCTTTTCAACCGTGTATTATTCTTCTTATTGTTTGAGCTTGCTTTTGTTTGTTAATTTTTCATATCCATCTCAGATAGGGGGCAAAATCCTTTGCAAATATGTCTTTGAAATTACTCATCATACGTACATACCAGTGTTTTATTAAAATGACAAGTAATCTTCTTGCTTTTCTGCATTTCTAATGCTCTTGGTTGTTTTGACTGTGATACAGAAACGTATCCTTCAAGTCAAGTCTGGTAATTTTCTCCTTCCCCTCATTTGGATATGAGGCAGTACCACAACAGTCTTTTTCCTTTATGATGACATACATGTCAGGGTAATACGCTTCATAATTTCTGTATTTTATAACACAAATTTCAGTAAGTATGCATAGGACTTTCCGCTTTGCGCAGTTGCCATTTATTGACAGGCCTGATAAAAAACGTCGCAGTTTGCTTCTTCATAACTATCTGAAAAGAAGGAATTTATTATCAAATCAAAGCTGCAGGAGACTGAATACCTCAAAAGTTATGCAGGTATTGATCACGATGATGGCACATTATAAATGTTCACTATTATTATTATTATTAATGACACAAGACATCGCATCAATTCCTTTCACAAATGACAAACACAAACAAACGTTAATCCTTACACAACGTATGCAAGCTTCCGCATGCAAATAGTAGAGAAGATTCCGATTAGCCAGATCACATCTATCATTCAGATGCCCATTTCGGTCCAGAACATTGAACAGCTGGATCGCTTTGGCAAAGTGTCCAGCAGCAGTGAGGTAGTCTCCCTCCCTAAGGAGTTCGGTAGCAACTATGTTCAGGTTTCCAATGAAATTCAGAATGCAATCCTTTCATGGTAAGAGAAACAAGGAGAGGTTTGATATTACATGTACCGCAGAGAATATGCTTAAAAGTTGTAAGAGTTGAAGTTATAGAGTCTTAAACTAGTTGAGATGCGACTATTCTCCCTTTAATAGACCTGCTACAAAATTACTAACATTTTCACAAACATGCACTTTAGTGTTGTTAACAAGCATTGATGATGTCACGCCAAACTTACGAGAAAATGTAATGTATCTCCTATATTAAAATTATTCTTGTGTTGATCTAGTCAATAAAATAGAATTCATATTCTTACCCATCAATATTCTTCTTCCTCTACCCTCCATTCAACACTCCCATCTCTCTCTCTCTCTTTCTTTCTCTCTCTCCCCTTTCTCTCTCTCACACTCTCCTGATTTCTTGCCCCAACCCCCATCTCTCTTTATGTTTTTATTTCTTTCCATGTCCCCACCCCTCTCCCTCTCTCTCTCCATCCTTTCTCTCTCTTTTTCTCTCTCTCGATATCACCCCTCTCTTCTCGATATCACCCCTCTCTCTCTCTCTCTCTCTCCCTCTTTCTCTCACTCTCCTCTCTTCCTTTCTTCTCTTCCTTCATCCCTTTGTCATTTATCTTGTCTTTCTTGCCTTGAAAAAAGGAGCATGCTGATGTCTCCACTGTTGGACTATACCATTCCTGTAAACAAAGAAATACAATACAGGATAAGGAAGTTCAGTTGAGGTAATAAATGAGACATACTAAGTCTGTCTTTAGTTGGTAGTTTCATTGTTACAAATGCTGTGCTTGCAATCAAATTGAAATTTGCATACAAATGTATCACATCACTCAATACTAAATTCTAATAGCTGTTTAATCCTAATATTTTTATTTTTTTAATATTATTATAAAAAAACAATGATCAAACAAGTAGATTTAATATACAACTATGTGGATGGTCCTCAAAAGGAATGTTTATATGTGTTTGTGTTGTTGTTACCAGAGTCCTTAATACAATAAAGAATACTTCAAGAAATCCATCAGGACCCATGCAGCTCATCAGATCTCAACACTAAGGTACTATTGGAGAAGAAGAAAACACCTTTTTTTTTTAATAAAAAAAGGTAGACGGCCCCCATCCCTGGCCATTTTTTTTTTTTTTTTTTTTTTTGGGGGGGGGGGGGTTGCTCTGAAAGGGATGGGGGAGGGGGGGTGTTGAGTAAAAAAAAAAGAAATAGTGCATGCTCCATTACCCCCATTCCCCTGCTGATTCCCTGCTAAATTTTTTCTCATGAAAAAAACATATAGGGCTCATTAATTACCAACCCCCCCCCCCCCTGCCCCTCTCCTAAGGATAGGTCAACTGTCGAAAATGTGGAGTCTATATTGATTCTCAGTCATTTCAGGACTTCTCAATCAACAGAATACAACCAGTCCTTATAGGGACTATCCAATGGTTGTACCGCACATCTACTATCCAAGTTTTCTTCTTGCCATGCAAACCTGTAAGCCTACTTTCAAACAATCATCAAATACTTGTTAATTCAATCTGAATATTGTGAAGACTTTCACCATCTGGTGTCAGTAGGCAATGGGTTCACATTTTCACACAAACCGAATTCAAATTCAAAGTTTATTCAACACTCTTCATAAAAACATTTAAAACATACAAATACAGAATGGAGTTATAAAAAAAAACAAGAAAGTGATAAATAATACAATGGCAATTTATAAGAGCATTTGGGATAGGCAGAAAGGAAAGATTCCTTATATAAAAGCCTACCCCTAAAAACACACATACAGGAAAACGAGGACAAAAGAACAGAACAAAAAACAAAGAACATACTAAAACTTACTATCATGCACGATCAGAGTAAAAAAAAAAGTCAAAATTTGCCTATGCTATTAATACTGATTATTATACTTATTTAACAGAAATGTTTTATATTTGATTTTAAAAAGTTTGAGAGTTTTGCATTTTTTAATTTCCTGAGGTATACTATTCCATATTAATGGTCCTTTAAAAAATAGTGAATTTTTCATACAAGTCGTTATAATCTTGGGGAGGTGATAATTTAGGGCATTTCTAGTATTAAAATTATGCACATCACAATTCAAGTTAAAACATGTAAAATAGTAAGCAAATTGCATGAAAACATGAAAACTGCAATATAAAAGTTATGCATATCGATTACATTTAAAATTTTAAGTTTACAAAATAAAGAATTACAGTGAGCATAATATTGGGAATGAGTTATAATGCGTATTGCTTTCTTTTGAAGCTTAAGTAACCTTAACATATCATTTTTTTTTAATTTGCCCATGCAACTATACAGTAATATGGTGTTATTAAAGTATGATACAACATTTTCAGAATGTTTAAGGGATAAAAAATGAACTTTATATAACACACCTATATTTTTTGCTATTTTATTACACACCACATTTATATGCTAATGCCACTTCAATTTATGATTAATTACAATACCTAAAAACTTAAGATTATCTACACGTTCAAAATTATGATCATTTACTCGTAAATGAATGTTGTTAAAATCAATACTTCTATTTTTAAAAACAATAAACCTAGTTTTATCATAATTTAAAACCAATTTATTATATAAAAACCAATTAGAAAGTTTCAACATTTCTTGCTTAAAAACATTTTGTAAAACCTGGACATCAGAATGAGACATAAAAACACTTGAGTCATCAGCAAATAAAATAAACTTCAGTTTATCAGAAATATTGCAAATGTCATCAGGGGCGTACGCAGGGGGGGGGGGTTGGGGGTTAAACCCCCCCCCCCTTAGGTATTTTTATGTGTGTAAACCCCCCTAAAAAAAAAAAACCCTTTGTTTTGTTTTTTGTTTTTGTTTTTTTTATTATAAAAAAAAAAAAAAAAAAAAATGCCCACAGCTAGTGTCCGCTTACCCCCCCCCCCCCCCCCCCCCCCACTGAGCGACTTTTCGGCTGGCTGAGTCGTTGCGATTTTTTTGGACTCAAAAAAAAAAAAAAAAAAAGTGTACGCTTAGATATAGGTTGGTAATTAAAAACATTTTCTTTAGTACCATTTTTAAAAACAGGGATAACCTTTGCAATTTTTAATCGCTCTGGTACTATACCTGCAGATAAAGAAATATTAAATATTGCACTTAAAGGAATGTAATTGCTTGTTAAAGAAATGGCATAAAAATGATAATTCACATTTGTGTTGTTTTATGTATATTTGCTCATTTCACTACAGAAAACATGCACATACATGTATATATTCAAGCTTTTGATATATTGGCACATTTTTATCATAGTTTTACATAGACATATATACTCACATTCCTTCCCAATCCATGGTTGTCTTCTTTCTCAGTTAGCCGATGCCTATCAATGAGAAGAAAAGTAAATCATAAATTCTACCTGATGAAACATAGTGCCAGGAAACCAGACTTACCTAGGCACAATTCATTAAAAAGAAGTATATAGTGAACTACAAATCTGTGAAGGGAATAGTTCTACTAAAGCAAATTTATCGGAAAGGAAATGAGATCAAACTACGTTCATGTGAATAGGGTATAGGCCTACAATTTTCTGTAAATCATATATTATATCCTTTTTTAGAAAATGGAAGTAGAAGCATAATTCTTATCAATTAAAACTTAAAGATTCTTTTGTTAGTATTCTAAATTAAACATGATTAGGCTTATGCTCCATCATATTCAAACAACCTTCTCAAACCTATTGTTCCATCACGTTCATTACGGTCAACTACACATGCTAATTTCCAATCATACTTTGATCATACTTTTGCTGTTGCAGCCCCTACAGAATGGAACAGTTAACCAATAAGTATTCGTCAATCCCCATCTGTAGAGTTTTTAAAGGAAATTTTGAAGTATTTTTTGTAATAGTAATTTATAGAGGAGTTTTGTTTAAAGTAAGTTTTACTTATCTGCAATATGTTATTATTAGAATTATGTACTAAGCTATCATTGCTGTAGTGTATGTTTATTTTACGTTCTACCTTAGAAACATATTGGATTAAGCACTTTATAAATTATGTAATTTATTATTATAGTTTATATATAGTTACTAAAAAATGTTGACTCATCGTTTTTGTTAAAATATGTACTCAAAATGCCCTGTAAATGGGGCATAACATTTTGTTTGTCCGTGTGACGGCAAGTGTGGGGGGGGGGGCCCAATCCATGAGAAAATATTTAGCGGTGACTAAGCCAGCCGGCGAATATAAAAGCAGGTGGGGGGGGGGGGGGTGGGAGAGGTGGTGTGTAAGAGCAATTTTTTCCCTTTTTTTTCCCTCCAGTTTTGAAGGGACCATCGAGTGAATAAGCGGGGGGGGGGGGGGGGGGGGGGTAAGAGCACTTTTTTTTGTGGCCCAATTTGTGAGAATTTTTTTTTTTCCTTTTCCTTTTTAATTTTTTTGGGGGGATCAGGGGGCCTGGCCCGTCGGCCCCTCCTCTCCCTCCCCCCGTAGATCCCCACCTGATAGCACCCCCCCTCCCACCACCCCCAATCTGCAACTGCATTTACACACTTCTGCAAATGACAACATAATACAGCCTTCTTTATAATATATACTTACGCAGTAGAATTAGCTGCACGTTGATTCAATATAGCTAATTGACCAGAAAAATGAGGGTATACCATTAGGCTTTACCATACAAAAAAATGAACGAGTGGGGTTGTTACAAATCCCGTACTTTCATAGACAGACCGAACTCAATCATCAATGAGATGAGATTGAGACAGACAATGACATGCACGTTGCACTATAGTTTTGAACTAAACTTACCTAGCTTTTCTAACTTGATTTTAGACTGGATATGACAGCAATCTGCCAAATAGCCTTCTAAAAGCAAAAGTAATGGCATTTCGGCTTTTCTCTTTTTCTTTATAATTTAGCTCAGCTGCTCAGCTTAGAAATCGAAAAATAGTTTTAGAGAGTAGACTACTAACTATACTGGAGCTAGCTGCGTACATATAATACCGCGTATATGTAGTGTGTGTCTCGATAGTTGTAGATCTACAGTGCGAGTCAAAAAAAAGTTTACACCTAGAAAATTGCTAATTATTTTAAAAGTCATCTATGAAAAGTAAATTAATATACATCTTATGAAAGAGGGCATCCCAAATCTTTTATATTTGGTATAATTTTTGTGAGGTATGTGTTCACGCTTGGATGAACAGGAGTATACACGGTATATATACCAGTAAACGAGTTAGAAAAAAAATGTTTCACAGATGATGGGCAATATAATTGCTTGTATTTCAGGTTCTCGAATCATTTTACCATTTCTATAATATCATTGCCTTGCATGGTCTGAACCGACATTTCATTGTCATATAGTACTCGCTTATTCTGGGCATAATTATATATTTGCCCTGGCAACTTAGTAGCTAGACGGGCTGAGGGCACTTCTTTCTGTGTGTCTGAAAATCTAGGAGGAAAGACTAATTCTTTTCTCCCTCCCCCCCCCCCCACCCACCCCACCCACCCCCCCCCCCCCCCACAACCGCCATAAAAAAATAAAATAAATAAGGTTATATGTTGGCCGCCAACATATAGTTGGCGCTATATTCGGGCAGCGATCGAGGTGCCAGCCTGAGACTGGGGAGTCATGGATGACCTTGCTGCCTGAAACCCGGCCTGATCCCGTTTCTAAATTTGGGGCTTGGGATTCCCCGCTCGACCACCATTGCGCACTCTCTTTCCATAACAAAAAGCTTCAAACTAATTTGCATAGTTTGTGGTAAACAAATTTTGTGCGTAGAATTATTATGTGAACCATATCAGTGGCGTAGAATGGATTAGTCTCATATCATGCAGTCCGATTGGGGGAGGCACCAGTCTTTGTTCTTCTAGATTTTGTGCGTAGACTTATTATGTGAACCATATCAGAGGCGTAGAATGGATTAGGCTCATCATGCAGTCCGATTGGGAGGAGGCACCAGTCTTTGTTCTTCTAGATCTGGTTGTGGGTGTGAGTGTGTGTGTGTCTTTTTGTTAAACATTTTTTTAGGCCGTAGCTAGGAGTTTTAACAAAAATTAAAAAGGCACAAATAACAAATGTTATTTAGTCATCGACATATAAGATGTATACATTATATACTCGTTGCCATAATAAGAATCACCTGGATTATTTGTTTATTATTTTTTGTATTTAGGTTATGAAAAGAATTTACAAAGTAAGGCATATACAAGGTAACAAAACATAATATTTGATAGATACAACAGTAAAAAAAAACACGATTCAATGGCAAGTCATTAAATACAAATGATGCTAACAATAATTTGCAGTAAATGAGGGGGAAACCTTGAAAGCATTATGCTTGTAATTAGGTTCCCTTTACATAATACGTTTGTAACATAATATATAAAACAATAAACAAAACAAAAGAAGAACAAAAACGGGTATGTGGTGCAGACGTGCAGTCACCCAACAGTCATTAGTGTTGATAATAATACCGATGGTCTCATGATGATCTTAAGCATTTTCACACTGAAGTAGAAGTTTATGTTTCAAGTGATATTTAAAAGTAATTAAACTTGGCAGCTGTTTGAGCGAAATGTCCAAGGAGTTCCAGTACACCGGACCAGTAAAAGTGTTATTTTTAGTAAAGTTCTCAGTTTGTGTAAGTGAAAAAAGAAGACTGCCGGGTTGGATAATTATGAAGTTGTTGATTCTTTTAGAATGTCGACCTGATGGCATGAGGAAGTTCGTTAGAATTTAATCGAAACATAAAACAACCTAAAAAGAAATTATACAACTCATGAACTTTCAATTTTTTATTTTCTAAAAATAAACTATTAGTGTGGCTTAACCTATTAGTGTGGCAGATTATAATCAATTTTGCGAGAAATGAAGCCAACTATGGAAAAAGGACACTAGGCCTAATTGTAAGTTGTGGAATGAATTTCATTTCGATATAAAAAATACACTGTTGGTCATAATGGTGGAAAAATTATTTTTACCCCAGTTTAGGGAAGGATTTAAAAAAATTATTTGTTTCTAATAGATCTAGATAATGGCATACATTCTCAGATTTTATTGAAAATTAATTTGCAAGTGTTTGTTTTGCGTGACTGCTAAATCATATGTGTGCTACTATGCTAATCAGCTAGGGAACCTACGTCCTTAAATCATAATTGACAGAAATGAGGATTAATGCCTCACAAAAGGGCACTAATATAGCTGATCGACACGATTTTTATCCTGGAGCCTCACAGTAACGAGGCCATTGCTCAGCCCCTGAACCATGACTGTACGCAGTGTTTGCTAGGGTACGCGGCCCCTTCCACAAATCCCCCAAAACGAAGAAAATGGAATAAATTGTCAAAAATTCATTGCATTTCCCCCCGGCCCCCAACAGGAAAAACTCTTCTGTGTGGCCATGCCTTGAACCATAATGCATGGCCCTACAGAGGAATTTTTCCTGTTGGGGGCCGGGGGGAAATGCAATGAATTTTTGACAATTTATCGCATTTTCTTCGTTTTGGGGGATTTGTGGAAGGGGCCGCGTACCCTAGCAAACACTGCGTACAGTCACGATTCAGGGGCTAAGCAATGGCCTCACTACTGTGAGGTCCCAGGATAAAAATCGTGTGGATCAGCTATATATTAGTGCCCTTTTGTGAGGCATTAATCCTCATTACTGTCAATTATGACTTAAGGACGTAGGTCCCTTACCTAATTAGCATAGTAGCACACATAATGATTAAGCAGTCACGAAAAACAAACACTTGCAAATTAATTTTCAATAAAATCTGAGAATGTATGCCATTATCTAGATCTATTAGAAATAAATATTGTTTTAAAATCCTTCCCTAAACTGGGGTAAAAATGAATATTCCACCATTATGACCAACAGTGTACAATAAATTAGGTTATTTATTTTGGGTGCCATGCATGCTACCCGAATCATGACGATATTCGGGCAGCGAGGTGCCCATAAATATTGTCATATCACTATTGGGATACTAATTGGACCTTAAAGTCATTGACCCATTTTTTGGAAACGCCCCCCTTTCAAAAAAATGAAATGGAAGCTCTTATTATACCAATCACGTGAAAGAATATGTTTTGACTAATACGTGATGATACAACTTTTGCCGGGAAACCGCCTAATTATTGATTATATTTGGGAAATTATCATTTTGATCCGGCCTGTTAAATATCGCAAATGCACTTCAACATTGAACATTTGGGCATATGTTTCTGTTTTGTTGTTGTTGCGAATTTAGATTGAAGCATTGCCATCTAAACCTCTGAAAGCAATATACTTTAAACAATATTGAATGGATATTTTGCACCCAAAAGCCTTGAACCGCAATTTTACCACTACCGGTTTTTATTTTTAATTACTGCCTGCATGAAACTATCCCGTTTCTAAATTTTGCAAGTGCATGCATGAGTGAATTAAGCGACCGAGCAAAAATACACTTTAGTCAGTCTCTAAAATGTCATTTCCTCATTTACCCTAAATTTGGGCATTTGGGTTCCTGGTAGCCTACTTTGTTTTCATAAATTAAGTTGACATTACTTCAAAATATATTCGAATAACTAAAACTCTTGCACTGCAGTAATGTTGAACAACGCTGTGCTATAAGATATGGTCAAAATTTGAGGGGGGAGATTGCCCAGGCTTGTAGGGGATACACCCCTTGCCTATAGATTGGGGAAATTGTGCAGGTTTAAAGCGAAACAGACACACATGCACATAAGTATTCTTTCCAGGTCTAGTGTCTCTTTTACCGTATATATTTCTGATATCTTTCACGCCTAGCCATATCCATGTCATTTCCTTCTCTGCTGCCACATCAAATTGATTTAATTTAAGACTAATCATGTTATTCACTGATTTACAAAATAGAATAATCTTTGAAGAGCGAATTCGAGCAATCTATCTCCATATATAAACTCATGCTCTTTTTTCCCTTTTCCTTCATCTATTCCCTCGCTCTCTCCTTTTTATTGTTTTTGCCATTTCGGATTGCCCCCCCCCCCACCCGTACATACAAATGTAATATACGCCACTGTGTTGATATGGCTCGAGCTGCTAGATATAGTATGCATAATAATGAACTGGGTTAAAGTTTGCTTGCATGGATTGGGATTCCCCGCCCGCTCGAGTCATTGCGCAATATCGGTCAGAGATTGCTCAATTTTCATTACGTTAGCTATATAATTGTCTCTTGGATGGATTTTCTTACAATATTAAAAAAAATCTTATTCTTCGGAATCGCTTTTGAGGGATATAATGCGTAGATGAAATTTAATTTAAGCCGTTTTTTCTTGATGTTTTTGTTCGGTACGTGCCGGTTTCGACCTCATTGTGATCAGTATAAATTCCTGGATTAATATGATTGGAAGATTTAATGATTCTCAGGCGTCTTTGATTTGCTCTCTTTATATTTCTGATAGAATTCATATCAGGGGCGGATCTAGCTTTTTTTTCCAAGGGGGGAGGGGGGGGGGTTGACCCAGTGGCAGATCCAGGATTTTCCAAAAATCGCGCCGCCGTTTTACTTTTTTTTTTACTTCTTTTTTTTCTTCTTCCCTTCCCCCCCCCCCCCCCCCCCCTTTTCAGTTCAGTTCAGTTCAGTTCAGTTCATTTTATTCAAAACCACACAAAGCATGATATAATCTGTTACATAAAAAAGAGACTGGTAATAGTACATCAATCAACATATTCTAACTTGATTACATCATAAACTGATTGGTTTTAGGACACTTTTAGAAGCTAAGCTTGTGAGCGGGGCCCTATATAGTCAACAAAATACATACATTTACAGTAAAAAGAATGTTACGTATGATTATACAATGGATGAAAATACTAAGCTACAAAATATAGAACATATAAATACCCTCTCTCTCTCTCTCACACACACACACACACACACACACGTACACACGCCCAT